TACTTTTATAGGAACACCTCCTCCCCCATTCCCAACATCTGCTAACTTCTAGTTTATTCCTCATCTCTGTAATTTTATTTTGTAGAGAATGTTATATGAATGAAATCATATGGTACGAAACAATTAGTGGCTTTTTAAATTCAGCATATTGTCCTTGAAGTCCATTTATGTTTTATTTATCGATTGCTTTTTCCTTTCATTACTGAGTAATATTCCATGGTATGGTTACACCACATTTGTTTATCTGTTCACCTATTGAAAGACAGTTTGGTTGTTTCTACTTCTGGGCTATTACAAATAAAGTTATCTCTTGTGGTGAAATGTCTCTTCATGTAAAACATTCAGCCTTTTACTGTTAAATATGATGTTAACTGTAGGTTGTGTCCCTTATTTACTTAAGCAAGTTCTCTATTCTTTGTGGGTTTTTTTTTTTTTTTTCATGAATGTTTTTCTTTATCAATGAATCATGTGATTTTTCTCCTGTAACTTGTGAATGTGATAAGTTATATTGATTTTCAATATTCAACCAGCTTTGCATTTCATCAATAAACCCCATGTGGTCAGCATGTATAATTCTTTGTATATACTGTTGCTGAATTGTATCTGCTAATATTTTGTTAAGGATTTCTGTGTCTATATTCATGAGGGATATTGATCAGCTTTTTTCTTGTTATTTGCCATTTTCTTTTTGTTTTTTATTTGTTCCCTGTTTTTGATTTGTTTTTTTCCTTGCCTTCCTATGGGTTATTTGAACTTTCTTTCAAGTTGCATTTTGATTCATCTGTAGTGTTTTTGAGTGTATTTCTTTGCAAAGGTATTTTTTTTTTTTTTAATGGTTGCTCTAGATAACATTACATATGCACAACTTATGGCATCCTATGGGTATTAACATTTTACTAGAGTGAAATGTGGAGACCTTACATACTTTATTTTATCTTTTCTTGTTTATGATGCAATTGTTTTAAATATTTCTTCCATATACGTCGAAAAGCACATCAGACAATGTATCCTTTTTGCTTCAAACATCAAACATAATTAAATACCTATTGTATTTAACCTGTACTTTTGCTTACCATGTTTTTTATTCCTTCTCCATATTTCCAGGTCCCTTCTTTTTTGTTTCCAGACTTCCTTTAACTATTCTTTTAGGGTAGTTCTCCGCTGGTTACAAATTCTCTTAGTTTTTTTTTTTTGTCTGAGAATGACTTTATTGCTCATTCCTTTCTGAAAGATAATTTCACCATATTTAGAATTCAAGGTTGACATTTCTTTTAGTGTTAGTGATTTAAAAATATTGTGCTACTTCATTCTGGTCTCCAAGGTTTCTGATGAGAATTCACTGACATTCAAATTGTTTTCCCCTTTTAGGTAAGGTGGTGTTTCTTTCTTGCTGCTTTTAACACAGTTTGTCTTTAGTTTTCAGTTTAATTATGATGTGTCTTGGCAGAGATTTCTTTGTGTATTTTTTGTTTGGGATTTATGTAGTTTCTTGTATCAGTAGGCTTATATGTTTTGCAAATTTGGGAAATTTTTAGTCATTATATACATTCAGGTACTTTTTTGGCCTCATCTTCTTTCTCTTCTGGGACTACCATAAAATGAGTCTTCTGTTAGGCTCTTTAGATTATGCTATTTTGGGGACTTCACTTTATTAACCATTCACCTATATACTTTTTTTTTTAACTGTCTTTCTTTGACTCTTCAGTTACTTCAATTTAATTTCAATCCCTCAAGACCCCTAAGCTGTTTTATTTTATTTTATTTTATTTTATTTCATCTATTCTCTCTCTCTCTCTTTTTTAAAGATTGGGTAAGTTATGTTGTTCTGTTTTCAAGTTCACTGTAGTTCTTCTGTCTTCTCCATTCTGCAGTTGAGCCCATTCATTTGCTTTTTTATTTCCAGTTACTTTTCAAAAAAATTGAAGATTTTCTTTTTGTGTGTGTGTGTCTTCTATTTCTTGTTCTAGAACTGGAAAGCCCAGCAATACATTTTTGTATTGCTACTCAAGGAAGGATATTTTATTTTATTTCAGCCCTTTGAAACTACACAAAATAAGAATATTAAGTAATAAGTATTATTTAAGTACTAATAGTCTTAGTAGTTTAGGACTATTTTATATTTACCTTATTTAATTCTTATAGTAATAGTAATTTTTACTCTTTTACATGACTACCATGTATGACAACTTTTTTTTTTTTTTTGGTTAGTCAGATGTTTTCACTTTAGCTTCACATGGTTAAACTTTAATTACTTCAATTTAATTTTAATTTTATGATTCTATTCAGAGTGCTTTTCCTAACATCTTTCTTGATCTTCGTGTTGCCAAATCAAGTGCATAATTCTCAGTTCCTTCTTGTGCCTGATATGTAGAAATCATTCAATATAGCTGATTTCTCCTCCTGTTTAGGAAACTCTCTTCTGTTTGGCTTTGAGACTTCCATCTTCCTCCCTCCTTCTATTTTTTCTCTGAATGTTTTTCTTAGTCACTCTCTTCTTTTTCTTTCTTTCTTTTTTTTCCCCGCAAGTCAAACTCTAAATGATAGAATTTAGTCTGGGTCTTCTTCATATTTTACATTAGTCTCTGTTCCTAAATGATCTACTTACTCCTGTCTGTATGCTAGTAATTCCAGATTTATGTCTCCAGCTCAGACCTTTCTTGTAAGCTTTATTATAGCTTAACCAATTGATTTCTTATATGCCCACTTGAATAACTTATGGATATTTCAAGTAATAGATCTAAAATTAATCACTATAATTAATAAACTCTAAGATGCATGTTTTTATTTTAATATCTATGAATTTTATATACAATAACATCTTAGATTCTATGAAATAGAGTAATTCCTTCCTTCTTCTTCCGTAATACAGTGTCTTCCTCTCTTAAATTGTCTGTCCTTACATTCATTTGTTAATGCCAGAAATTTGGGAGCTACCCTTGACTCTTCAGTCTTTCGTAACACTTAATTCTACCTCCCAAACACCTCTCAGTTCTGTCTTTTCTTACCCTGTCTATTGCCATTATGTTTGTTACAAAAGCCTTAATCACTTGCCCCATGGATTACTGCAAATGCCTTTTAACTCTTGGTGTCTTCCAATTCAACCTCTAAATAGTGCTTAGAATCATTTTTTAAAAATGTAAGTCAGTTTATGTCACCATCTTACTTAAAGTCCACCAAGAAATGAAATTCATAGTTTTTAATGTGAAGTGAAAAGGCCTCACTAAGCTGGTTTGTGCTGCCTCATCAGTCTCCTTTAGCATTATATGTGCCCTCATTCTTTTTGGTTCAGACACACTGGTGTTCTAGCAGTTCTTTTACAGTGCCATGTTGTTACAGCTTCCTGGAATGCTCTTTCCTCCACTTTTCTATCTGCCTATTTCTTTCTTTTTTTTTTTTTTTTATTTATATTTCCATAATTTTTTTACAGATATTTTACCTTTTTACCCCATTGGCACCCCCTACCCCACCCCCCCTCCACCCTGTCCACGGCTTAGTTGTCCATGTCCATTGGTCATGCATATATGCATATAAGTTCTGTGGTTTATCTCTTCCCACCCCCCACCCCCCATCCCCTCTTCTGAGGGATGTCAGTCTGTGCCCTACTTCCATGTGTCTGGGTCTACTGTATTCCTCAGACTGTTATGATCATTATATTCCGTATATAAGTGAGATCATGTGGTATTTGTCCTTTTCTGCTTGCTATCTGCCTATTTCTTTACTTGTCCTTTAGGTCACATACTTCAGTTCTTGTCTTAAACATCACTTCTTTAGAGGTGTTTGCTGACCCCTAAATTTACATTAGATCTTATTATACTCAGTGTTTTGTACTTTCCTATATGACACTGAGGACTTGTTTATTTTGTTTATCTCCCCTCTGTTGTATATCTCATTGTTTTACCCCATACACTAGAGTTTAGCACAATGCATCACAAATGGAAGGGGTTTAGTAAATATTTTTAAGAAATGAAAGTACAAATAGAGTTTTAAGACATGTTTGTGCACATGTAGACTAAAAATAAATTCTTTTCAAATGTAAGGCAAATAAGGAGCATATAAGTATGAGAAGTAGGTATTCACTCTTGGTTGCCAATTACACAAATTATCTGACAAAATTATTTGAAATAAAATTTACTTTTTATGAGAATGCAGTTTCTGAAAAAAGTTTACAATTATTTCAAAATAATATTAAGCAATTCATGATATAAGTAAAGTATATTTTATTTTCACTAATAGCAATTGAGTGCATCTCTTTTGTCACTTTCATACAAAATTATTCTTTTGTGTAACCAGTTCTTTTTTTTTTTAATCCACCAAATAGTTTTAGGAGGATTCAGGATTAAAGAAAACATTGTACTACATTCCAGGAACAACATTTAATTGCTTGGCTTTTTGTTATAGTGGTTATTGGCAAACCACTGTTTAATTTTTAAAATGTTCTTTACTCTTTGGAGAATAACTCATGTCTATAGAACAGCATGAAAAATAGAGCATGAGTAATAGACATAACCAATAGCCTTTTTCTTTTACAGAAAATGTAATTTTTTTCATTTTGATTTCTGTTTATTAGCCTTTTCCCTTCTTTTACTAGTTTTGTTCTGTAGGGTCTGTCTAGTGATCATGAACTTTATATCCTACATTCTATAAATTTTATTCATTTTGAATTCTAGCTTTCCCTTGGTATGTGTAGTGAGTACTATAGAATTCTTGAAACAAGACAGTATCACATGGTTTAAAATGTTTATAATGTCTTTGTCCTTTCTTTCACTGTCTCCTTTACTGCACTTTTTTGTCTGTCTGACTCTCACAGGAGACATGGATTACAACTGGTTGGACCATACGTCTTGGCATAGCAGTGAGGCATCCCCAATGTCTTTGGTGAGACATGTGGAGCCTTACTATTTAATTTCTGTTATCATTTCACTTTTCCTTTTTTATTTACACCTTTGCATGTTTTCTTTTTGAATATTTATTTATTTATTTTTTTTATCCCACACCTGTAGGGGACAGTCAAAAGGGAAAAAGAAAAACTAGTGAGCAGGCAGTTTTGTCGGACTCTAACACCAGGTCTGAGAGACAAAAGAAAATGATGTACTTTGGTGGCCACTCTTTGGAAGAGGATTTGGAATGGTCTGAGCCTCAGATTAAGGACTCTGGGGTAGATACCTGTAGTAGCACAACCCTTAACGAGGAGCATAGCCATAGTGATAAGGTACTGAGATTGTGGAGCCTGCCTTTTAACCTGCTCATTTGGTCTTCGTTTGCTCTCTGTCACTCATTCAAACGGAACATAATAAAAAGACAGGGCATTTCAAGGGTCAATGTAGCATTTCTTAAGGTGCAGAAAAGAAAAACAAAACCAAAATAAACAAATCAAAATATTTCTTGCTTGCTTTGCTGTTTTTGTTGTTTGACGGCATACCAAAAAAAAAAAAAAAAAAAAAAAAGTAAATGAAATAAAAATTAGGAACAAAGGAATGTTTTGTCTTTGGTCGCATGAGAGAATTTTGTAATGTTATTATAAACCATAAATACAAAGAATTTCTTGGATTGGCTTATTTGATTGCTTGCATATATTTTTCTTGGGATGAAAATTAAATTATTAATAGTTTGAATCCCAGGCAAAAGGGAGATAATTGGGTCTGTTTGCACAGAAAAAGTTGTTTTTCTTTTTTCCCTTTCACTGTCATTTTGCTCTTTTGTTTTATTGTCATAGCATTTCAATGGAGCATTAATTAGTATTAGAACCATTGCCATCTGCTTTGGTATTTATTATTTTTGCTTTTAGTGTAGTGAGACTTTTAAAATCTTATTACCATGTAGATGTGGTTGACTGGAACTTGTCTTTTGCATGCTAAATTTTGCATGAAGATATGCATGTTACTTTAAGATAACTGTGAAACTGTGATTACACAAATCATTTACTTTGTCATTTGACATATAATTCATAATGGAAAGGGATGGTGTTGTGATTTATAAAGGGATTGGTTCTGCCCTGAGAGAGAGATAAACCCCTAATATTTTCAAGGTTATTTAGCAATGGATACCCCTGAATTATCTACTAAAATTAATTAACTAAATAGATCAAAGACCTGAAAGAATCAATGAATCTCCAAAAAGTGAGAATTGTACTCTATTCTCACCTTTGAATTAGGCCTATTTCTCCCAGAATCAGTTGGAGAGTTATTGGGGCTTGAGTATTTTTTCATAAATTTAATATAGAAACCTGTTTCAAGAAAGCCCTCATCATAGGTTTGAATTTTGTGTTTTATATAATTTGACCTATTAACTTTTATTGTAATAAGGTCTCTCAAAGTATTTCAAAAGTGTTTGAAGATTAAATTTTTTAAAATGAGTTTAGTTATATAGAATTCCAATCTATCTTTCCCACCTGTGAATTTATTAATCTTTAGCATGTATGTAATAAAATTAGGTTTTGAAAATATTTTCAAGATTTCTCAGATTTTGTAGAACTACATAACTTTAGTATTGTGTTAGAACACTATAAGAATTTGAAGTAATTTAATTTTGAAAACTTGAGATAATAAAATTGAGGTTATAAGCATAATGTAGTAAGCTTTTTTGATCAATGTTTTGAATACAAACTGGTTTGTGTAATCATTAATACTTCAGAAATCTGAAATTTAGAGAGATTGTACAATAAGGGGTCATTTGTCATAAAATGACATTAATTATTTTGTTTTTTGATGCAATGTCAGCACCCTGTGACATGGCAGCCATCTAAAGATGGAGATCGTTTAATTGGTCGCATTTTATTAAATAAGCGTCTGAAAGATGGAAGTGTACCTCGAGATTCAGGAGCAATGCTTGGCTTAAAGGTATGTGATGAAATATGTAAGATTCTGACTCTATACTGCTTTACAGATTAATCTGTAAAGAGATATAATAACTCTTTCTACCTATACTAACTTAGTGAATTTTCTTTCCATTTTCAAGAATTCCCAAATATTTGCCCTCATTATCTATTTCTTATTTTCCTAGTTTTATTTAAGAAGTTGCCATTATTCTACAATAATACTTGTATGTATAATTTTGGAAATTATAGCGAGTTATATACTTGAATCCTAAATACAGTGCTCAAACTTATTTTACCTACGCAGTTTGTCCTTTATGTCTATACTTGTGCTTATATTCTATTTAAATAGTAGTTTTAGTCAATGACTAAATATGAAAACCTGAGAAATGTAATATATGTATTATACAGGAATATAATTTTTTAATTAGTGTAGCAAAATATGTGTGTCTATGTGAGAGAATACTGTTTGAAGCCTAGAGACTCAAAAATACTTATGTTAGGTGATATGATATAAATATTAATTTATATTTTACTATATAATACCAAACAATTGTTTGGTAATTACACCAAATATAGTTTTGTTTTGTTTATTTGTTTGTTTTTGTACATCTGTGTGGTGAATTAAAATCTGAAATGAAAAAAAGAGTAAATATTTTAGAGTTAAGCTGTTGCTACAGAAGTTTTCCTGTAGAACATAGTGAGAGATATTAGAAAATTTTAGGTGTAAGTGGAATTGGGCAACTAACATTTACTGGGTGGCTGGCACTCATCTGAGCATTTTACATCTATCCTTTTGTTTAACACTCACAACAGATATAAAATAAGCTTAGAGAATTGTCATAGCTTGCCCACGGTCACAAGATAGTGATGAACTGGATCTGTCCAGTAGAGCATTAGAGTAGTGTAGTGTGGAGGTGAGGAAGTCTCAGTTTAATTTCTAGTTACTGCAATTACTAGGTACATGACATTGGTCAACTAAACTTCTCTTAGCTTCAGACTCCTCATCTGTACAATGGAGATAATAATCTTACTAAATTGTTGTAAGAAGGTTAAATAAAGCAATATATAAACATTTAGTACAGTGTCTAACACGTTATAAGATTTTAGTAATGATAATTATAGTCAGTAATATCATTACTATTAAAATTAATCAAGTCAAAAATTTTTAAAAATTGACATGGGGATATAAGTTCAAAATATCTATAGATTTAATTTTCAGAATCAAATATAAGAATACTGAGTTTAATTCATTGCAGTTTGGGAATAAATACATAGACTGTGACAAATCAGTGTTGTTGTTTTTTTAATTCAGATATCTTTCACTCAATTTAGAAGAGGAAAAGAGCTATTTTAGTTAATGAAGTTATTTACTCTTATTTGCTTGGCTTGCTATAAAGTTGATATATTGACTGAATTCCAGTTGATGAGAATCAAGCATTACTATTATAAGAGGACATTTTTGCAGGTACATATATGACTCCACAGCATTATTGGTAATTTTTTTTTTTCCTGAAAAATATACAGGGGAGGGCAAAAGTAAGCTTACAGTTGTGAGTACAAGAAACACAGAGTTTATTCTTGTATATTATTTATTGTATTTTTCCATAGGGACAACTGTAAGCCTACTTTTATTCCACCCTTTATATTAATGGAAACATAAAAACAGAAAAGCTGGGATACAAATGGTCAAAAGTTCACATTAATTCTGATGAGATTAAGTAAATTTAATAATTTTCTCAGGAAGAGTATATAATCATTGTTTGCACTATTAATGTGCCTAAAAGATTACTAATGAAATTTAGGTGGGATATCATAATTACAGTAAAAACAACAAATATTTATATTGTGATATTTGAAGTCTATAACTAGATATGTTAATTAGATAATACTGAAATAACATGTTTTTAGAAATTACAAAAGTTAAGAATTCTGTAAGAAAGAAAAAACGTCAAATTGGTGTTTCTAAAGTATGCAACATTTTCAAAATATAATGGATTAAATTGTAAAACATTTTATTTTTTTAATTTTTTTTTTTATCCTCACCCGAGGATATTTTTCCATTTTTTGTACAGATAGAGCGGGAGGGAGAGAGAGAGAGAGAGAGAGAGAAACATCGATGTGAAGGGACACATCGAGTGGCTGCCACCCGCACGACCAACCAGGGCCGGGGACAAACTGCAACCGAAGTACGTGCCCTTAGCGGGAACCGAACCCGGGTCTCTCCGGACCGCAGGCCGACGCTCTAACCGCTGAGCCAAACTGGCCAGGGCGTAAAACATTTTAATATGTAAAAAACTTACTCTTGGGACATGTGCTCAGTTCCTAATAACAACACTATGTAACGTAAAATATATTTTAACCTGGCCTGTGTGGCTCAGTGGTTGAATGTTGAACCATGCAACAAGAGGTTGTCAGTTTGATTCCCAGTCAGGGCACATGCCCAGGTTGTGGGCCTGATCCCCAGCTGGGGGCATGCAGGAGGTGGCCAATTGATATTCTCTCCCATAGATGTCCAAATCTCTCTCCCTCTCGCTTCCTCTATCTCTAAAATCAATAAATAAAAATTACATAAAAATATTTTAAGTATAGTGAGTTGTAGTTTTAAAAGCTGCAAATTGTCACCCTGGCCTGTATGGCTCAGATGGTTGGGCATTGTCTCATGCATCTATGGGTTGCAGGTTTGATTCCTTGGTCAGGGCACATATCCAGGTTGGGGGTTCATCCCAAGTTGGGGTATGTGTGGGAGGCAATCAACTGATGTTTCTCTCTTTCCCTCTCCTTTCTTCTCTCTCTAAAATCAATAAAAACATGTTTCTTTTAAAGCTGCAAATTGTCTATTTTTCACTTGACTCCTCATTGGAACAATGTTTCCCTCAACATTTTTCTCTTTTAAACAGGTTGTAGGAGGAAAGATGACTGAATCAGGTCGGCTCTGTGCATTTATTACCAAAGTGAAAAAAGGAAGTTTAGCTGATACTGTAGGACATCTTAGACCAGGTGAGTTTCTGTATTTCATTGATTACACTAAAACTGTTAAATTTGAGTAGTTATGAAAAAGTTATCCTAATTTAGAAGTGATTTGACCAGTAGCAAAGAGCTCATTTAACTTAAATTTATTCATTAATGGAAAGTTGTAATATAATTTCTTGAGTCACATTAGAAAAAAGATTTTTATAGTTATTGATTTTTTCTTTTTCTTTTTTTTTGCTTATGTACATTCTTACTCTGTATCTAGTATTTACCTATTTTGTTTCCCATAAGCCTTCACTTTTCTTTTGAAAACTTGTAACATTGTTTAGGAAACATACTTCATAGATAAATACATATTTCCTAAAGTGTGTCACTCCTTATCTCTTTGGTAATGGATAGGAGAGATCCATGAGAGTCTTGGAGAGGATTCGAGAATATACTAAATATTAAGCTTTTTACAAGAGAGTTTAGACGAAGTGCTCAGCCAAATATCTTGAAAAAACTAGAATGCAGAGTCATGAACTCTACAAAGTGGCAACTGATCTTGATAGTTTCTAGAATTAGAATTTCTATTAGAATTTAAATGTCTTTTTGTCACCAAGAAGAAGAACTCACAACCATTCATGGACAAGACATTACTGAGAAAATCCTGGAAATCACAGACAACTTTTATGTAATTTTTTTTTTCCTGACGCTCAGCCTTTTGGGTGAAATATACAAATCATTCTTGTCATCAAATTTTATGCCACTGGAGCTGTTCTCATAATGTTTCTTATTTCATAATGGTGATTTTACTCTGTGTAGTTCATTGCAGTTTAAGATTGCTTTGTTTTGAGTGCATTTATGGGATTAGATTTTCTTTCTAAGATTATCATTACACACAATAGGTGATGAAGTGTTAGAGTGGAATGGAAGGCTATTGCAAGGAGCCACATTTGAAGAAGTATATAACATCATTCTGGACTCCAAACCTGAACCACAAGTGGAGCTTGTTGTTTCAAGGCCTATTGGGTAAGTTAGTTTGAGTGCTTTCCACATGTATAGAGTTGACTACTATTAAACAATTTTTGAAGTGCAATCCAAAAATACCTGATTGCTTTATTAAAACTACATTATTTTGAGATCATTTTTTTTCTTTTACTGAAAACACTTCACCCCAAATCATCTAATCTATTTATCTGATTATACAGTTAATTATAAAAGGGTAAAAGTTAATTACAAAAGACAAAATATTTATATGTTTATTATTTTTATTATCTTCGTATCTTAGTAGATGGCTGATGGCATTAGTAGGAAGGGACTATAGTAATAATTACTTTTTTTTTCTTGTTTTATTTTTAATTTATTTTATTGTTGAGAGTATTACAGATGTCCTCCATTTTTTCCCCCTTTACCCCCTTTACCAGTCTCCCTCCCCACCCCAGGCTTTCACCTGTTTATTGTCTGTGTCCATGGGCTATGCATATATGCATATAAATTCTTTGATTAATCTCTTCCCACCCTCCCTCCCAATAACAATTACTTTTAAAGGACGTTTCATGAACTATGGTCCTTTATACTATAAAAATGAGGATCAACTATATTCTATGATTTTTATGTATTTTTTTCCAAAATGGAGATTTCAACATAGGAAAGAGAGGGCCTAAAGACATACTGTTCCCAGATAGAAGGGACAATTTAAGGCAAAAACATAACATTATTAAAGAAAGATAAAAATATAAACAAATGTCAAATTCTCATTTGTTTTTATAATTTGTTACCTATAGATTAATTTAACAATTTCCAAAAGTTGGCAATAAATATATCATCCTTTGCAGCTATGTTATGAGAATTACTCTTTATCTTAGTAGTATTTCCTTTATAAAAGCTTATATTCTAAACCAATAGAAAGATATACCTATAATTAGAAAAAGCAGTTGAACATTATAAACTGACAGTGAATTATTAAATACATGTTCAGGGTAAAAGCATTTTAGGATAGAGGCTATAGAAATTATTTCTTGTGTTAGAATATAATGCCCAATTTTTACTTATTTAGGAAATGATTCGACTTTCTCATTTTGTTCTCTTTTTATACTTTAGAAAATGACTTATGGTGGTAACTTAGCTTTTGAAATGTTTCTTTCAAAAGTAATGAATCTGGCATGTGAAATTGTATCTATTTTTTGTTTTGTCTTGGTTTGGTATTATGGTAAAACTGTACTGTATCAGCCTAGTGTATTAATCAAATATATTTCTTCATATTAAAGGATACTCTAAACATTTTTATTTAATCTTTGAAATTTTCTTTTATGTAATTTTCTTAATGATTTTAACCATTAATATCTACCCTTATTGACAAATCTCAAACAAAATGTACATATTTTTGGTGTAAATGCAGTTATAAAGTAACTTTGTTAAGTTCCAATAAGAAACTTGTGTATATTTGTCTCAGTGGAGTTATTACATTAAAATAATTTCAATCAAAATCTGAATATTTTAATTTTTGGTTAGGTGATATTTTCTTTGTATTTTAATGTTACTGATTTAGAACAACAGCAAGTAAAAATCAAGAGTAGGATAGAATTACAATATATCTATAAAACTTGTTGAATGCAGAAATTTTTTAGAATAGACAGTTGTGTAGTGAGACATATAGAAAATAAAGTATATGTTTTTATAAATCTGCTATAAATATGTATGAATTTTAATTTTTTAAGTGTTTTCTGTTACCCAGGAATACTTTTATTAGCATTAGAAGAATATGGCCTATCTTTTTCTTATTTATATAATACCACTATCTTACACAATTTTGTTCATTTCTCTCATAATAAAGGTTGATAATGATGAAAACAGCAGTTGCATTAAGTGTTGCAACAATTTCTTGTTTTTTTTTTCTGTCATTTCAGAGATATACCTAGAATACCTGATAGCACACATGCACAACTGGAGTCCAGTAAGTTTCATTAATTCTAGAAGGAAAAGTTATTAATAATGTCATTCATCAAGGGTTAAATGAAGGACTTTATCTAATACAAATCAGGAAATATAGTAAACTTCTTATGAAGTATATAATCATATAAAGATGGGAAATTTAACATTATTTTGTGTTGTGGGAAAATGTACAAAGGTATGTAATACTTTAAGATTTTTTTTTATCTTCACCCAAGGACATTTTTTTCCAGTTATTGTTCAGATAAAGTGGGAGGGGGAGAGAGAGAGAGAGAGAGAAACATCAATGTGAAAGGGACATATTGAGTAGTTGCCACCCACATGACCCAACCAGGGCCGAGGACAAACTGCAACCGAGGTACATGCCCTTAGCAGAAACCGAACCCGGGACCCAGGCTGATGCTCTAATCGCTGAGCCAAACCAGCCAGGGCAAGATTTTTTTTAAAAACATGGTCTTAACTACTATTTTTAGATAGTTTTCTTAGAGTATGTTACAATAAACTCTACATATTGAAATGGACATATTTTGACATGTATGTGAAACCATTGCAATAAAAAATGAACAGCCCTGGCCGGTTTTGCTCAGCAGTGAGAGCATCGGCCTGTGGACCAATGAGTCGTGGGTTTGATTTCTGGGCAAGGGCGCATACCTCTTTTGCTATTTGTCCCCAGCCCTGGTTGGAGTAATGCAGAAGGCGACACTTGATGTGTTCCTTTTACGTCGATGTTTCTCTCTCTCTCTCTCTCTCTCTCCCTCCCTCTTTTTTCCTCCCACTCTATCTGAACAAAAATGGAAAAATGTCCTTGGGTGAGGATAAAAAAAAAATTTTCCCTAATTTTAAAATTTACTACTGTGTAACCCAACCCTCAGTAAATGGAGAATTCTTGGGACAATTGAGTGAATAATTATATATACTCTTATTTATATTCTAAGAAAATGGAGTAATATTTCTGATTTAACACTGGAGTTAAAGTGGAACAATAGACATGTATAAATTTATTTTAAATAATGTTAAACACATAAATACTTTTTATCACTTGTGTTTGTGTGCTATTTTAGATGTTAAACTAATGCAGTTTTTCCAATGAACTAGGTTTCTTCATTGATTGAGAGCAGAGTAAGGGATAGGGTGAAAGAAGAGAGGAGAGTTGCAATGTGAAATAGACACTGTTTAGGGTAGATTACACTGAGAAGGAAGGATTTGGGCAAAGATTCTGGGGGAAAAGTTTTCCAGGTACAAGGACCAGACATGCAGTGTCTCTGAGGCAGAAAACCCTAAGATGCATTTAAAGAAAAGCAAGAAGGCCAGTTTGGCTGCAACAGCGTGAGCAAGGAGGAGATTGGCAGGAGGAGGAGAGGAGAGTAGTGGGCAACCAAATTGCAGACTTTATAAGCCACTATAAAGACACTGGCTTTTACTCTTAGCAAAATCAAGAACTACACAGGATAGTCTTGATGAGAGAGAGTCTTATGTTTTAAAATCTGGATACTGTGTTGAAAATATATTAAATGGAGTTAAGGGTGAAAGCAGTGGGACTAGTAAGAAAACTATTTTAGTATTTTAGGGCGAGATGATGGCGACTTAGACCAAGTTGGTAGCAGTGAAGGTGGTGAGAAGTGGCTGGATTCTCTATATGCACAATAATTGAGAATATCCTACCAAAATAGATCTATTTCCAATTTTATATTATAATTACAAGTATAAAAATTTAGAAAATCTTTATCAGATAGATGAAATCCCTTTGGAATGTTATAGCTCTATACTTTAAAATATGATCATATGACTTACTTGATTTAGTACCTCTGGCTAGGTGCTAAATAATTTTATCCAAAATAACGTCATGACCACATGAAACTATAACATAATAAATAAATACTAATATAATGATAATAATTATGTATAATGATATTATCATTATCATCGCTTCCATTTTATTGAGTTCCTAAAACTGTGCTTGATATTGTGCCTACATTATCACAGTTCTTAACAACAATCCTAAGAAGTATGTATATTTTATTCACTTAGATTACATCACTCAAATGTTGTATGAGCATTGTGAAACAATTCCAAAATTGTTCCTGAGGAGACGGGGCTTTTCTCAAATTAGATTTAATCCTTTATTCTATAAATGCTGAAAAATAGGTTCTCCAAGGTCCAGTTTTTAATCCTCTGTCTTTAGTTCCTCAATAAATTCTTTTCTTCATATGGTTTTATTGTCATATGACTCTTAAGTTTATATATCGAAATTATCTTATTTTCTTTTCATCTCTGGGTATTTAAAGGATACATTTAAACATCTTGTTCCTTGAAGCTTAATGTAGAAAACTGAGCTTATTTTTTACTATAAAGTAAGCATTCTTTCCACTTGTAAATGTTATCAAAGATGTCACTATTACTTCTGATCCCAAGGCTTTCAGTTTCCCTCTTCACTTTACATTTTATCCACGTGTGCCCCAGTTGGGGAGACACTTTTAATTTATTTATTTTTTAATCCTCACCTGAGGATATTTTTCCATTTTTTGTACAGATAGAGTGGGAGGGAGAGAGAGGAAGAGAGAGAGAGAGAAACATCGATGTGAAGGGACACATCGAGTGGCTGCCACCTGCACGACCAACCAGGGCCGGGGACAAACTGCAACCGAGGTACGTGCCCTTAGCGGGAACCGTACCCGGGTCTCTCTGTACCGCAGGCCGACGCTCCAACCGCTGAGCCAAACTGGCCAGGGCTCAGTTTAATTTCTAACACTAATATTTACTCTGCATTTGGTTCCATCCATATATTCAGTAATTTGTTTTGTATCTCCCCTTGGACATCTCAGAGATATCAGAGGGCCACTGTGTTCCAAAATAACTTTTTCATTAATTCCCTTAAGCACAGGACTTTCTACATTGTTCTGTTTCCCCGGGAATAAGCATGGTCCTGTGCAGAGATCAAGGCAGACACATCAGGGACTTTCTTGACCCTGTATCTGGCTACAAGAATTGAAATCTTAATGTTAGCCCCTCTCTTTCCTTTGTATCTCGTATCTAATTGGTTTCTGAATCTTCGTTTTATTATTTTACGGTATCACCTGAATTATTTCTATTCCATTTTTGCAACCTTTCCTATGGTTATTTATTGAATTCCACTTGTTCCTGTTTCCATGTTTCTCAATTCAATCTACATTTAAAATAAGGGGTAAAGTCACCTTCCTCAAATACAGTTTTTATTACCTCATTCATAAGAGTTTAGTGTGGAAATTTTTTTTTAATCCTCAACTGAGGATATTTTTCTATTGATTTTTTTTTTTTTTTTCAGATAGAGTGGGAGGGAGGGAGGGAAGGAGGAAGAGAGAGAGAGAGAGAAACGTTGATGTGAGAGAGACACATTGATTGGTTGCCTCCTGCACAACCCTGACCAGGGCTGGGGATGGAACCTGCAACTGCAACCCAGATACGTGTCCTTGACCAGGAATTGAACTCTCGACCCTTTGGTCTGAGGGCTGATGCTCTAACTCCTGATCCAAACCAGCCAGGGCTAGCGTGGAAACTTTATTAGTGCTAAAATGTGCTACCCAGAATTTCAGGCTCTAACTGCCCCCAGTGTCTTTATTAGCTCTGTTAGCTCCATTTTTGTTCACTTTTCAATTTGTTCCTTCCCCTCCATACACATAAATTCATACATATCACTTCTGAGTACTGTGGTTCTATATTTTCTGATATTCTGTTTTCATAGTACTTCACTTCCTTTCTGCCCATCTAATTAATTATATTCTTCCAGATATGGTTAAAAAATCACTTTCTGCAAATATTTGTACAATTAACATTCTAGTACTTATGTTTTTAGTATTGTAAGAGTAGAGCATCTTCAAATTGCCTGATTGATTTCAGTTTTGGTTTTTCATACCTAAGTTTCTACTTTGAAATTTTCTTAATGTTATTGTAAGATAAGTTTAGTACACGTCAACAAAGTAAATAAGTCCTGAAGTAGACATTTTTTTATACTCTTATTGGCACAGAAATTGGTTCACCCTTGGTCTTAAGAGAATCCCTAAGCTTCACTTATGCGTTAGTAAAAGACTCTGTGTATTTGGGACATTGTGGCCAAGAAAATGGTCTATCTAATGCCATTGTGTGGACATTAAAAAGAAAAACTTGAGCTATATGGTGAAGATTATTAAATACCAGTGAAGAGTCATTGTTATTATTCTTTATGTATATTTACCATTTCAGGTTCTAGCTCATTCGAATCTCAAAAAATGGATCGTCCTTCTATTTCTGTTACCTCTCCCATGAGTCCTGGCATGTTGAGAGATGTTCCACAGTTCTTATCTGGACAACTTTCAGTATGTAATCACTAAATTAATTTCCCTTTTTGGAATTTCAAGTAGTGTTTTTATTATATGTTGCTAGTTCTTGGTAAACCAAGTTCTTCTTAGAATACAATTGTGCTTTTAACCATCAAACTTTCTCATTCTTTGTAATTTTAATTGATTGAAATTCTATTTTAATTATTTAGCATAGTACTTTATTAGAGTTAGGTTCCTATAATTTAATAAGCGTTAGAATTTGTGAAGATATCTAAAACTTTTCTTACTTTAGTAAATATTCCAAAATTCAAGGTTATAATTTTTGCTCAATACCCTAAAATAACAATAATGTGTCATAAACTTTTAAGGAAAATAAAAATTTTGCAGTATACAAAGATGCTATATTTAAGATAAAAGTAAATGTTTATGTACTTTTCCTGCTTTTCAATCTTAAGGACACTTTGAGTGAGGTATGAATATTGCTCTGAAATGTAGTAATACTTGAAATGCATTTGTCAATAGACAAAATTAAGTACACATGTGAATATATAAGTGATTACTGAGTGGTACACCAGATGATTTCATAGTAGATGATCCCTAACTTGAACATTTTATAATTAAAGTTATAAGTTCTGCATTTTATGTCCATATTTAGAAGAGCTTTGCAAATGTAAGCCCTCACTTTTTGGTTAACATCAATGTTTTTCCCTTTTATAACCATTTAAAAATGTTAACGTATAAAATTTATCCAGTCATAATTTAAAAACATACAGGTTAGTATTGACAATGTCACCAAGTTATTCAAGTTGAAACTTTATGGATATTAAGAACTATTTAGGTTCTCAAAATTCAGACACTAAGTTTTATATAAAAATTATCATTAAAAGCTAACTATTCTTGGGATAGTATTATAAGAGCAATAGGAAAATCTTTATTAAATAAGCTACAAAACTTGTATTTTGGGGAGTAAGGAAGGAATTTGGGTTTTACTGAATTTTCATTAGAGGAGATATAGGAAGTATAAGCAAAATTAATATATTAAAATTTATTGAAGAAGTCATTAGACATGTCTTTATTGGACTATTTGGATCAAAAAGGTGACAATTACAAAAAGTTATGCAAGGAAGAAAATTGAGATACTATCAGGAAATTGTAAATGTTTTACTAAAATGAATTGCTTCTCTTTATTATTTTCTTTTCCTTTCTCTTTTATAAACAGAGTGAACTTTTCATTTGAGGACAATGGTCTTTTTTTCATTTTTCCATTATAAGTAGCATCTTTCTACTTATTCTGTTCCATATATTGACAGTACAGATGTTGTCATTTATGGATACAAATGTATATGTCTTTTTCCCCCACCAATTTAGGAAGTGGTAATAAATGTTAGCTGTTTTCCTTTTTTTATGGCTCCATTTAAGTAGTTCATCTTTAAGTAATGTTCTGGGTAGCTGGATGATGCCAGTATATACATAAATTTCTGTGTGTGTGTGCATGTGTGTGTAATTGGCTTCAGTTGGTGGAAGAGGAAGGAGTGGAAGTTATACTTCCATGACAAGTACCACTTTGTTACCTCACTTAAAATCCCAAGGGCCTATTACAAATTGAAGTAGGAGGCAAGAGTAAGAAGCATAATGCAGGCATTTTGACAGATTTCAGATTCCACAATTTTTCCTTATAGTTCAAAATGAATATGGTAAAAAAGTAATACTGTTAAATGTTTTGGGGAAATATAAACCTAAAGGTTTTACTTATAAATATATATAATGGTATAAAGTTAAAGTTTATAAGTGATGCTGCTTTAAAATCATGTAATTTTAATTTTAAATGTGTACTATTTTATCATTTTCTTATGAGTTAGAGGAGTATGTTGCAATAAGATAATGTTTACAAATGTAATAATATTTATTGTTGTAAATCTAGAAAGTACAGATAGATAAATAAAAAATAAAAATCACCTATGAACCTGCCGCTAAAATATAACCATTTATATACATATAATTTTTTTTAAAGAAAACTATAATAAATCCATGTATACTATTTGGAAACCTTTTTTTATTTATATATATATATATATATGGAGAGGGGGTCCACTTTTTTAATACTTATTTAATACCCCATTTTAACTTAATTTGTTGTAATACAATATCTTATTTCTAATTTATATTATTTTAAATAATGCTGTCATGGAAATCCTTTAATATAGATCTTGCATATTTTGTAAGAACAAAATTCTTCTGTTGAAATAGCTTTCCAGAAGCAAAATTACTATATGAAAGAAAATAAAATTTTAAGGTTCTTAAAATCTATTGCTCACATTTTTCCCAAAATATTTTTACCAAATTAAACTCCAGTGATCTATTTAAGAAATATATGTTAAGGTCTAACTCCAGTTTAACCATAATACTAATAGCTTGGAATACAACAGTGAACAAGATAAAAATGAATTTTACCCTCATAAAACTTAATTTTATATTATTCTTTGCATGCAGGAAAACATAAGCAATATATCCTTTGGATATAGTATTTCCCTTTATATTTAATCCTACTTCTGCCAACTGGAGACAATTTTGGTATGCTGTAATGATCCAGAGGTTGGGAAAATGTGTGTCCATGTATACCACTCTTTGGGAAAACCCCTAGGAAGTCACAAGGCAACATTATAATTTCTGTTTCCTTCCATTTTCCCTTTGGGTATTTTTGCTTTTGGTGAGATTATACCTAGGCCCATAACTCATTACAAAATCATGGCATTGCTAATGCCTGAGAAGAAAGATAATTTGTATAGTATGTGAGCTGACCTTCCTAATATATTCATGTCAGTCCATGGACTGATATTTCCTCAAATCAAAAAATATACATACAGTGCAAATGGTTGTTTAAACTTTCATGCTCAAAGCTGTTGATGATTTTTTAAAATTATGCAGTGTATTTCCTCTCCATGCTTGAATTGTGCTGCTGCTTGTGATTATTCTAAAGCATAACTATGAAAGTGACATTAATGTAGTTGGTGAGAAAATCAGGGTGAGTTCATGGTTCATGACACCTGGACTCTATGTTACCTTCTTCACTGTCAGCACTCCTATGTTGATTTTTTAAAAAAAGAAAATGTGTTCTTTTATAATTTAGCAGTTTCCTTCTTCAGAGGATTACTTTTATAATTCTCCTAATATTTTAAAATTGATTTGTAATTTTTGGCTACTTATTTTGATAGAGTTAATATAAAGTATAGCCTTTAATTCTTCTTTTTTAAAATATGTTTTTATTGATTTTTTTAGAGAGAGAGGAAGGGAGAGAGAGAGAGAAACATCCATATGAGAGAGAAACATCTATCAGCTGCCTCCTGCATGCCCCCCTATTGGGGATCGAGTCTGCAACCCAGACATGTGCCCTGATGGGGCATCAAACCAGGACCTCTCACTCTATGGGACATGCTCAATTCACTGACCCACACCTGCTGGGCAAGCCTTTAATTCTTTCAAAAGTGATAAATGGCTCAGAATTATTTTTTTCTGTTGGAATACACTGAATCTTTTTGACAGTCTTATTTTACTTTAGGGTCTGTGGTTGATTTTTGGTTGTACTGTTTCCCTAAGTTACTTTGTTTTAATATTTTTCTGACTCCATGTTTAGTGATAAGTTTGTAAATGTTACAAATATCCATTTTATATGCCTATTTAAAGAGAATAAATAATTGAAGAATAGGTATACATATTTTATATCTCCTTAGAAACTCTATAGACTTTTAAAAACTTGCTGTAAATTAAAGTTTTTCCTTTGAGTGTTTATCTTTCATACCTACTGTCACAACCTTGTTATTCCAGATGCAATGCTTTTAAGGAATGTCTTAAATATAGTAGTGTACTATATATTTCAGTATATAGTAGTGCAGTATATAGTGACATTAAAAATGCAAAATAAATTGTGGTGTAAAAATTCAAATTCTTTATTTGGATGAGGCTGAATTGTTATAGATACCAGGTATTTCATGTTTAAAATAAATGAAGTGATGTTAATTACAAATTGCTAAGAGATACATAATACTTCACTATTCCCATGTGAAATATCCAGAATCCATAGAGACAGAAGCAGTTTAGTGTTTGCCAGGAGTTGGGATGATGGGGTGATGGGGTATAACTACTTAACAGTACATGGTATTCTTATGGGGTGACGAAAAAGATTTGAAACTAGAGGGAAGTGGTGGTGGCATTTGTGAATGCACTAAATGCCTCTGAATTGTACACTTTAAAATGATTTATTGTATGTTTTTTTAATATCACCTTATTTAAAAGAACTAATAAAACAAAATGTAGTTTTATAGCCAAGTTTAATGTATGAACTTGTGGGTGAAGATTAGGTTTAAATAGCCATAGATTTTAGAGAATTGGTTTCAGAATTCTGTGAGTTGCTCATTTGAGATCATTTAAGAAAGTTGAAAATATTTGCCTTAAAAGATTAATTTATTTTAAAGTACTATTTATTTTAAAGTAATCTTTTAGTTTATGAAGTAATATTTACTTCCCTTACCCTGGTACTTTTTGTCTAAAACAGGTAGAACAGATGAGAGGACAAAAGAAAATCAAACCTATTTCTAAATAGAATACCTTGTTCTTTCCTTTTAGTGTACCTAGTTAATCTCTGAATTTCATACATCCCTTCCTTGTTTGCTAGAGATTTATCCACCTAGATTTATGCAGATAGAGATCAGTAACAAATTCCACATCTAAAACATTTTTTTCTTCCTTTGGATATGTTTCAACACAAAAAGGAAGACAGCTTAGATTTGAGACTGCCTTAGCTTTTGGAGAAGAGAATGATGGTGATTCATGATTGAATGATAGTCTGTTTTTAAGGTCTTTTTTCCTTTAGGTCTTAGATTTATACCTTACAAAGTATAAGTCTGGTGATAGTTAAATTGGACAACAGTCCTCCTAGTACCTATTAACTGTTTCTGTATAGCAGTGGCAAAGTCTGAAGCATTATTTATAACTCTTTGAATTAGATAAAAGAGACATCTATGAGAAATATAAGAAACGGAATGGAATTTTGGTGAAAGAAGCAAAATTAATGCCTTGAAATCCATTCCCAAACCCAGAGATATGCATCTGATTTTGTTCCTGATTTAACTGTTGACATGACATAATAAAGGCACACAATTCTGATTTTTATTGTGGGAAATGGTTTCAAATGAAAACAGAATCAGTCAGGAAAGAAATGATATTTGATTTTACTCAAAAAATATGAAAGAGGGTGATTTAGTGATTTAGTCTGGTGGCCTTTATTTTCTACCATTACAGTATTTTATCTTTTGAGTATCTAACCTTTTTTGTTGTTGTTCTATTTCTGTTTCCTTATCTGCAAATTGGAGATAATACCAGCTACCACCTTAGTGTTGTTGAAGGCAATAAACTTGCAATAAATTATCAGTAAATGCTTGGAAAAATATAAAGAACTGTATAAATAAAAATAAATGAGATATTTTCATTAATAGGTATGATTAGCAATAAACAGTGTTATTTTGAGGGGTACATAATAAGTGTCTGAAAGTGGTGTAAATTTGTAAAGTATGAATCACATAATTAATCCAGTGCATTCCAGCATACTTTTATCTTACTGTGTTTATTCTTTTAAGAATTAATGCTAAGCCAATTTGGCTAATATATTCTAGACTTTTCTTATACATATCATTTGGAGAAGTCACATGATTACGTCTAAAGATGTCTTTTCACTAATAATTCTATAATGCATTTTCATCTAACTTCATTTTGGACTGTGATTTTTTTCTCTGTAGTGTGTTTAAGGGTGAAATATGAAATTTCTTGGCTATTGGTTCCGTTTACATTCATTCTTTCAGAATATGTTCTTTTACATTCAGATTTAATTCCTGTTGCTTTGATTACATTTACAAACCTGATTTAAAAATTCTAAGATTTTATATATTTTAGCATTTTGGCAAAATTAATTTATTACATTGAAGTACTTAATTTAGATATATATAGTCATGGAAAAGTTATATTTGAGGGATAGTTATATGTGTTTGTTTTTACTTTGGTCTTTTAGTTCCAGCGTGTTGTCCTTTTGGTTTTGTTTTATTGCTTTTTTCTTTAATTTTGCTTACCAGAGCCAAAGCCTTAGTAGAAGAACAACGCCTTTTGTTCCTAGGGTTCAGGTAAAGGCCTTGTCTGCCTGATAGAAACTAAAGTTGTGTTTTAACCCTTATTTGTATGTTTTTGGAAAATGCGTAGTAGGAAAACATTTTTTGGTATGTTGCGCCAAGCCATATTATTGACTTTCAAATCATTTTATGGACCAGCTTGTAAACTTCTGCATGGGGATTAAAATACAATAAAAATTTAAAGAGACAACTTTTGTTAGTGATTTTATATAACTGAATGCTAAAACTCATAGGTTTCCGAGTGTCATTTAATGTAGATTATACTTTTATATGTAACCTTGAAAGCAATAGCTAATTTAGCTGTTGATATTTGCCTTTATTATGCACGATTGCTGTCTCTTTAAATCATTCATTATATCACTAAACATCTCCATTCATTTGCATTTTCCAAGTAACAAGTCCTTGAGGAGATTGGCAAATAAATTTGTACCTTATCTAAAAGATGGATTTCATGCATAATATATATAAGGTTCAACATTTGGAAAGTTATATTACTTTGAAAGAACAAAATCACAATCCAAATAAAATGTGTTGAGTTTATTTTGTTTACATTTTATAATTATAATTTTATTTAATTTTACTGTAATAATTGGGTACAAGTTGTTTGCCTCTTTTCATTAGGAAACGCTTATATGGTAAAGTAATGTCAATATAGTTTTTAAAGTAGTATTATGCTTTCCTTGCTTTGCTGCATGCGTTTTTGTTGTTGTTATTATTGACTTTGAATAATACTAATATAGTTTAAATTTTAAAAATTAAACTTGTTCTAATTAGTATTATGTAGTGTAAAATATTTACTTGTGCTGCTCAGGTTCTGCTTAGGAAATTTAAAAATTGTTACATGGGAAAGCTGGAATGATAATTATGTTAAAATAATTAAAATGATACCAAGATTTTTACTAATGACAATGAGGTAAATATAAAGAAGTCATATAAATATAAAGAATGTTATATCTAGAATTGTGAAATTCATTAGTTATGTTTTGGGGAATCAACAGATATATTAACCATTCATTTAAAAAGCACAGATAAAGAATTTCAAAATGTGATAAAATAATCAAGCTAATAAAATGATTATGTTTTGATAATGTGAGCTGGGTATCTATTAAAAACTTCAGTGCAAGTCCTGTAATATAAAATGAAAATTGGAGCTATTAGTCAAATGCCCAGTTTAAGACAGTTTATTAAAAAGTATAATTTGATTTTAAAAATCATTAAAATTAAAATGTGCCTGTTTTATATCTGTATATTTTAACATTTATATATTTGTAAAGTTTAATTTAATAAGCTCTTAAGTAGTAATAAAACATGAAAGCCAAATTCCTAATATCTTTTGTATAAAAATTAATATTATTAATAAGTGGTATTTTTGGTTTTCCATGGCATAAGAAAATCTAAAAAGAATATTGTTTATTAGACATTTGAAATATATATCTCAGATGTTTAGCTGTAGTAATTTCAGAGGAGTAAAAATATTGCCTGTGGCAATGGCTTAGTCTCAATCCCTCAAAAAAACCCTCAGAGAAATCAGTAATTTTCTCTATTGATTATGAGCTTAATTTAATAATGACCATTGTTATTTCTTTGTTTCTTAAGTGTAAAGTTTATTGGAAAATTTTTTAGCCTTTCAGAATTTTTTTCTCTTTATGGTCTAATTATGTCTAATATAGGACTTTTAATATCATAGAAAAATAAAGCCATAAGCTTTTTTATTTCTATAGACAATAGAGAATATCAGCAATTAATCTGATTTTGATCACACATTTTAGGGGAACCATGACACATGCTATCTGAAAACATCTCTGTTTCATGTCATATATAAAACACTCGTATTTTTTACCTTTTTTGTTTTGTTATGTTTTCCCTTCATGTCTTTTGTCAGAATAGTTTAGTCTCTTTTACCCACTTACCCTCATCTGTATCTGTGTTCTGATATTGTTAAGGTAGAAAATATTTGAACTTCTTCTCCATTCAAATGTTAGAAGCTTTTTTTCAGTTTGATCCCCTAATCTAAGGCCATGGTTCTCAAACTATAATATCCCTGAGAATTGGAGGACTTTTTAAAAATGGTAATGCCTGGACTCTATTCTGATTCAGTCAGTGAGAGGTGGGCCACAGGGATTTTTAGCTTCTTCACAAATAAACCAGATAACATTGATGCAGGAGGTTTGTGAACCACAGACTTATCTAGTCTTTTTCAACTGAGCAGCTCTGTTAGGAAAACCTTTTGTTACACAACCGCAAGATATTACCTACATTAATCATATGGACTCAACACAAAGAGAGTAGTAAATATAATTTAAAAATTTTTAATATTTCTTACTATTTTTCTATAAAAGGGCAGATTCTTCTTGACAAAAAAAGAAAAGCATATAAATGATTTTATGTACTCTTCTGGGCCATCAGTTTTCCTCTTCTCTTGCTTAGTGTCTCATTCCCTAAAATACAAAGTGAGGGATTTAACAAAGCCCTGTTAGCCTGGCCTGGACCCAACAGTCCAATTTGGAGAAGAGAGGGAAGGACTGACATGAGATGTATATTTGATGTTTTTAAACGGCTGCAAACATTGTATATTCAGATTAAAGGAAAAATTAAATCATTTATATATATATATATATACCATAAAATATATAAACCATAAAATACATATTCTATAAATATAATTTTATTCCCAAATTTCACATTTTTTATTCAATTTGAAGATAGCAGTCAAGTGATTTCAGAACTCACCTGTGAGTCAGAGCCACAGTTATCATAGATCCTGACATAGCAGAATCAGCTTGATAGGTGTGGGAGTGTGAGGTCTGTGTGGGAGTTGACAACTGTTAAATCAAATGAGTTCAGCAGCTGGATGTGAAGTTACAATTCCTAATTATGGTGTAGGGAAATTATTTATGTTTTCTCATGTAAAATTATAAAATACACCCATATTATTTTAAGAATATGATACATTTCCATCACAAACAAAAGGAAACTTTATTAAAGAAAGTTTTAAAACATGAATTTATTATAATTTTAAATACAAACTTAAAGAGTCTATTGACTAAAGCTACTAGTAATTCCCTATTCCTTATAATCTTTGAAATATCTTCTGCTGTGGAATTAATAGAACATTTGCTTAAAAGTTCTCTATAAATACCATATAAAAAAGTTACTATCTATTTAGTTCATTTTGAGCATTTATTTTGTACTATTGTAGGGGAGCAAAATGAACTACAGTGATTCTTGCATAAAAATAAAACTTAACAGTCATTGTATAGAAAGTTGTCAGTTTTATGGTAGTATAGTTATGTGCATGATAATAAGCAGTCAAATTAAGATAAAAGTTTAAATGATTTATCAAACTGAAATATTTGAATTAATTCTTCTATTGAAGTTATTAAAGCATATATATTTATTTTAACTAAGCACAATTTGCTAAGTGAAATTTATATTCCCTGTTAGTATAAGAGAATGTGGCAAACAAAGATTGGAACATAAAAATTATGTTATGGTAGTAAATGTTTAAGCTGATAAATGGATATTTTTGCTTTTCAGATAAAACTATGGTTTGACAAGGTTGGTCACCAGTTAATAGTTACAATTTTGGGAGCAAAAGATCTCCCTTCCAGGGAAGATGGGAGGCCAAGGAATCCTTATGTTAAAATTTACTTTCTTCCAGACAGAAGGTATGGATGTGAAAAAAAATAAATGTTTTTTTTAAATAAGTGAGAAATGTTAATAGCAATGGGTGTTTTTGTTCTGTATCATTTATTTTTATCATACCTGTCAGAAACTTATGAAGTTTAACATAAACATAATGATTCTTAGGAAATAAAATAGTGACGATAAATACTTTGAAATTGTTTCTAAAACTTATATCAGACGTCCAAAATATAGATTATTTTATTTCATATTTATTTCAGGTTGTGTGGATCTTTTCTTAAATAATGTATGTTTCTATTTATCAAAATTACTAAAAATTAGCCTCCTTTAAATCAAATATATTTTTAATACTAACTGTAAAGGCAAACACTAGAAATGGTTCTAAATGGTACTCATCATATTTCTCTTCAATTTGTACCTTCTCTTACTAAGATACTATTTCTTTAAATTCTGTAAAATTAATCAGTGCATTTTTAGTTTCATCACCTCATATCATCAAGGAAATTTATCATTTGGCCCACAATTAGCTTCTTCAAGAGTCACTTGTTTTGTGTCCTTTCTAATCAACACACATGATATTGTTCTACCCGGACTTAAATTAGAAATTAAGATTGAAGAAATAACTTATCAAAAATTATCTAACCATTCTCAATTTCAGGCACATAAAAAATAAGAGAGAGTATTCAACAGCATCATGAAAAAAGAAAGCACCAGTTACCCTTTCCCCAGCTATTCTGTATCCCTGCTGTCAAGGCAGGGTGTTCTCGAGGTCTGCTCATTTTTTTCTCAGGTTGAAAATTACAGAGCAAATGTGATGATCTTAAATATGTATATACACTTCTGGACCTCATGTACTTAGTTTAAGTTAAAGTCATCCTGGTTGAGTTGAGTGCCAAAGTATCATCTGAAGTACAATTTCAGCAAAGAAAAAGATGAAAAGAATGAAAGATGATTAAGAAAGGCCTTAAATTTTATTTGATACACAGTTTGAAGTGAAAGTTGTAATGGAAATTTCTCAGAAAATATGTCAAGGTGGCACAGTCTTTAAAGGTATTAGAAACTGCTATATAATTTTATTTTACAAAAGTTTGCTTGAAGATAGTTGTTCTCTAACACTTAGGTTGTCTTTTAGACAGGGATACACTTTGAACTGCAAGGGAGGAAGGGCACATCCATGACTGGACTGTTAAATCTAGCTTAAACTTCAGTTTGCCTTCTTAAATTATAATCACATATGATGTGTTTGCAAAAAAACTTCACATATTATTGTTTCTCTCCCTCCCAGTATAAAAGAAATCTCTTCTAGCCCGGCTGAGCCTGGTGTGGCTCAGGTTAAGCGTCAACCCATGCACCAAGAGGTCACCAGTTCGATTCCCAGTCAGGGCACATGCCCAGCTTGTGGGCCAAATCCCCAGTGCAGGGCGTGCAGGAGGTGACCAATTGATGTTCTCTCTCATTGATGTTTCTCTCTCTCTCTCTCCCTTCTTCTCTCTCTAAAATCAAAAGAAAGAGAGAAGTGGGGGGAGAGAGAGAGGGAAGGAGAGAGAGAGAGAGAGAGAGAGAGAGAGAGAGAGAGAGAGAGAGGAAGGAAAGAAATCCCTTCTAAAATATCATTCTTTGAGAGCATTTATCACTCCTTAAGAAAAAGTCCAGGCTTAATCTTCCATTCCCTTTCACAATGCAGTAAAAACCACTCTTGAATTAAATAGCAAGGCTCCCACTTAGTGCTTTCTTTCTGGCCTTCATGAAATTGACAGGGTCTCATAATTTATTCTTTATGGATGGAATAGAAGTAAATGCTTTATAAATATTAATTAAAATTTTAGAAGGACAGGAATTATAGAAAAGTTATAAATTAAAGTTATTATTATTATTTGTATAATTTTTTAAGGTATTTTTATTTACAGTACCACTTCTTTTCCATAAAATTGAATAGAGACAAAATCTCCTACATGGGTTTTCAAAGTTACTCTCTTTCTAAGGTCTTAAAAATTAATAATGATACATTGTTTGAGGGTAGCTTTTTGCCCCATTAAATACATATGCTCTGGAAACATATCTGTTGTTGATTATTTTTTTTTTTTTTTCCTTTTTTTTTTTTTTTTTTTGTACAGATAGAGTGGGAGGGAGAGAGAGGAAGGGAGAGAGAGAGAGAGAGAAACATCGACGTGAAGGGACACATCGAGTGGCTGCCACCCACACGACCAACCAGGGCCGGGGACAAACTGCAACCGAAGTACGTGCCCTTAGCGGGAACCGAACCTGGGTCTCTCCAGACCGCAGGCCGACGCTCTAACCGCTGAGCCAAACTGGCCAGGGCTGTTGTTGATTATTTAAATCAAATCTATATTAAACATTAAGCTCTATATTGACCTAGGAGAGGAAGTTACATAGCCCCAACTCAGACACTCTATCCCTTTTTTAGATCTCCCTTCTTTCTATTTCCTAGCACTGTTAGCACTGTGCTATGCTTGGAGAATTTATAGTAGTTAATTCAGTTCGACATGGAGTTCATTGTCCACTTCTTACATCAAATAGGCTCTCTAGATAATTTAACCTTTCCTTCTTAGCTGATTGTTTTTATTACTATTCAGCCATTGATCCTAATAAGCTAGAGTAGTAAGCTCCAAAAAGAATCGATGTTCTCAAGGAATGTGCAAGACAGTCCTTTGGAGGTCAAGAGGAAATATTTAAATTTTTATCTTACTACTTTTAATTTCTATTATTATGTATTTACCAATGTAGGCAATATTTAATACAACAGTATAGTAATAGTTATATATAATTTATAAATACATGTGTTTAAAATGGGATGTGTAGTTAAAAACATTCACTTGATAGATATATGCAATTTAAAAAAGCACAGTAGCCTTTGAGGTATCAATCCCATCTGTCAAGGTGTCCATTTATGGCTCACATTTAGTAGCTAACTCACATAGAAATAATTTTAATAGACCTGGTAATGTCAAATAGCCAAGTATGCACTTCTTATAAGTGAGAAAGTAACTAGACAAAATGTAATTACAGTTGCTCATTAGCTAAACTATGTAGACATGAACTTATGAACATCACAATTTACTAGATTTTTGTACAATAAAATCTCTGTAGTTAAAATGAATAGCATATGTAATGTTATGGGTTAATTAGCATTTGGAAGGTTTCCAATTGGGCAATACGTTAAAAAAATTTAGAAATAATTATCTGTAGTCTGGTTTTATTTTGATTTAAGAAAAATTAAGTTTTTAATTATCATGAAAAATTTTAAGATTTATTGAAATATTGCTATTATTAAGTCATACATATAAGTGATATAACTAACATACATTTTAATAGTAATTTTAAAGATTATATTTGTAATGTATGTTAAGTTTATGGCAAAACTTGAGTTGACCTCTTTTCTGAGAAATTTTACATTAATAATTTTATGGCAAATTTAAAATAAAGTTTCATATAGTTCATGTTTTCTATTTTTTTTTCCATAGTGATAAAAACAAGAGAAGAACTAAAACTGTAAAGAAAACATTGGAACCCAAATGGAACCAAACATTCATTTATTCTCCAGTCCACCGAAGAGAATTTCGGGAACGAATGCTGGAGATTACCCTTTGGGACCAAGCTCGAGTTCGAGAGGAAGAAAGTGAATTCTTAGGAGAGGTATCTGGAATTATTTGAAAGCTTAATCTATTCATGTCATCTGAATACATTTGTTTATATGACTATCAGTAAAAAATTATATTTTTAATATCTGGAGAGTAACATAATTTCTTTTTTTTTTTTTTTAATCCTCACCCGAGGATATTTTTCCATTTTTTGTTCAGGTAGAGTGGGAGGGAGAGAGAGGAACAGAGAGAGAGAGAAACATCGATGTGAAAGGAACACATCGAGTGGCTGCCACCCGCACGACCAACCAGGGCCAGGGACAAACTGCAACTGAGGTTCGTGCCCTTAGCGGGAACCGAACCCGGGTCTCTCCAGACCGCAGGCCGACGCTCTAACCGCTGAGCCAAACCGGCCAGGGCAGTAACATAATTTCTTTAATGGAATGAATTTAGCTCCTGCTTTAAGACAAAACTTTTTGATGTCATAAAAAACAATGGTTCTATGCCCTGACTGGTTTGACTCAGTGGTTGGAGCATCGGCCCACAGATTGAGGGGTCACGGATTTGATTCCTAGTCAAGGGCAGGTTCGATCCCCGTTCCCAGTTGGGGTAGCGTGGGAGGCAAACAATCGATGTGTCTCTCTCATATCGATGTTTTTCTCTTTTTCTTTCCCTCCCTTCCTCCTCCCTCCCTCACTCCTCCCTTACACTTTATCTAGAATTCAATGGAGGAAGATCCTCAGGTGAGGATTAACAAAATAAAACAACAAACAAAGCCCAGTCTGTTTGGCTCAGGGAACTGAGCATCATCCCATGGACTGGGAAGGGTGGTTCCATTCTTGGTCAGGGCACATGCCTGGGTTGTGGGCTCCATCCCCAGTAGGGGGTGTGCAGGAGGCAGTTGATCAGTGTTTCTCGCATTGATGTTTCTGTCTCCCTCTCCCTCTCCCTTCCTCTCTCTCTCTCAAAAAAAAAAAAAAAAGATCAAACAAACAACAAATAAACGGTTCTAAATACTCTGACAATTTTGACATTTTTATTATTATTGTATTCTTATGTCTCATTGTTTAATGATAAGAAATTAACTTATATTTCACAAATATGTTGCTATTTTATAATGTGTGTATATCATGTTAGTTTTCTGAACCAATTGTACTACTTTTAGGTCAATCATTTATTCCTGGATTTTGTTTAAGCCTTGTAATATACCCATAATATGCTAGGGTCTGATGCTTCAAAGGTTAATACAGCATGTTACTTCCTCCAAGGAATTCATAATCCACTGGGGATACAGACGAGTGAATAGGCAATTATAATATAGTATGGCAGATGCTGTTGCAGAATAATACATCAGTAATACATACTTGCCATTAAGGGGAGAAGAAGTGGTCCAGGAAAGGCTCCACAGAGAAAGCAGAATTTAGCAAAGTCAGGGGGAGTAGAATTTCCGTAGAGGGAATAACAAGACACTGGAGTTGAGGGGCTCTTGAACAACTGCACTGCAACTGAAAGGAAAAGTGTTAAGAAATGAGACTTGAAGGTTAAACTGGCACCAGATTATGTCCCTTAATATAGCACATTAAAAAGTTTGAGTTTAATCCTATGGATAATGGGAACCAGTGATAGATTTTTTAAAGAGGATAGCCTGATTGCATTTGTATTTGAGAAAAATATTTTTAGCCCTGGCCGGTTTGGCTCAGCGGTTAGATCATAGGCCTGCAGTCCTGAGAGAGCTGGGTTCAGTTCCCACTAGGGGCATGTACTTCGGTTGCAGTTTGTCCCCGGTCCTGGTTGGGTCGTGTGGGTGGCAGCCACTCGAAGTGTCCCTTTCACGTTGACATTTCTCTCTCTTTCTCCCTCCCCTCTATTTGAACAAAAAATGGAAAAATATCCTCGGGCGAGGATTAAAAATGTGTATGTATATATACCTATATATTTTTAGTGTAATGTGGAGATTGAATTAATTGGAGAGGGGCAAGATGAGAGGCAGTTCTTCAGCTATTAACACACTAAATTATATGCTTTCAGCACTTTTCAATGTGATTTCATTTTCCTGAGTAAATAAAATAGTAACCTCATGGGAAAACCAACAATCCATAGAAATATTAAACTGAATGTCAGTAGCTAAGGAATCAAAGAGTAGTAAGCCAGTTAGGAAGAAAGGTAACATAGCTGTAGGGAGCAGAATCTGGGACAGCTGTCAAGGTCTGCATTTGTGACACTTCTGCTTCCTAGTAGCCTGTGTCCCAGCAAGTTATTAAATCGATTTGTCTTTCAGTTTTTTCTTCCATCAAGTAAGAATAATAGTAGTATGCAACTCAGGTTTAATATGAGGGTTAAATATGTGTATGTGTAAACATTTGGAATACAATGTCTATAATTTTGAAAATGACTAGGAAAGATTTAGGAAGAATGAAAGAACTTAGTTGTTTTGCTTCTTTACCTCCCATAGCTAAATAATGATTTATTATTATACCTAAGCATGAACGCTGTCATATTTGCCCATGACCTTAAAAGAAAAGAAAAAGTGTCATTTATTTATGTGGACTGATTTTCTTTTAAAATTTATTAAGTATTTATATTTAAAATCCATATTATATGGTTTTAAAATCCATATTGTATGGTTTACTTTAAAAAATCAGTTTTTCCCGTTTTGAATCCTTAGCATATGTTGACAAAGATTTATTTGATTCATATTACAACTCTTTCATTTACCACCTGATGTGTGAGTGCTTAGACAAGTTCTTTTAATTTTTTGTAGCCTTGGTATTTTTTTCTGTAAAAGTTGAATAACAAGACCAAACTAGTATTTTTTTCCCCCTAGAAGTTTAGATAACGTATAACATGGTTTTAAATACACATTAGACACTTCCAACTTGGTTTTCTCTCCTATTTAGAGTTTTTGCAAAGGCTAAATTAATGGATGAAAATGCTTTATAAATTATAAAATGATATACATATATTAGTTTTATTACAGACTTTTAATAATGTGTCATTTTTGTAATAGGAAATTCAACACCCTCTAGCAGGTGGTTGGTCAAGGTCTGCAAAATCAGTATCTTAGATATTTAAAACTTTTAAACCATTAAGAAGTTATAAATATCTTTTATTTAGCTATTGTCAAAACATGAATAATTTTGCAACATAACTTTGCTTTTGATCTAACAGCATTACTATTATTATAAAAGCTACGAAACCATCCAAGAGAATTTCTATATTATTGGTATATAACAATTTTTTGTATCTTGGCTTTGTAGATTTTAATTGAATTAGAAACAGCATTATTAGATGATGAACCACATTGGTACAAACTTCAGACCCATGATGTCTCGTCATTGCCACTTCCCCATCCTTCTCCGTATATGCCACGACGACAGCTCCATGGGGAGAGCCCAACGCGGAGGTTGCAAAGTAAGTTTTCAGTAAAATTTATCATATGTTTATTGAAATTATCTTGAATGATAGATATGATATATGTATATATATATGAAGATAACCATTTTGGGTATTAACAGGTATCTCAGTGTTTTCATAGCTGTTATTGAAGCTTTTAAATTGTTTTATATACTAAAATGAGCTATACCTATATTATTCACTCACTGTAGTATGACTTCGAATGAAACAGTTGTTTTAATTTCACTCTTAGAATCTTAAATATGTGAAAGAGATAGCCATATATATATGTGTGTGTGTGTGTGTGTATATATACATGTATATATATGAGAGAGAGAGAGGGTTGGGAGGGAGAGAGTACTAAAGAGAAATATCAATATGAGAGAGACACGTTGATTGGTTGCCTCCCACATGACCCTGACCGGAACTGAGGATCAAATCTGCAACCCAGGTATATGCCCTTGACTGAGAATTGAACCTGTGATCCTTTGGTCTGAGGGCTGACGCTCTAACCTCTGAGCCAGACTGGCCAGGGTGACATAGTTATTATAGTAGAATTTGGTCATGTATGTGTAGATACTTGAAATTATGATTTCCATCTTTGCTATGTCAAGTGTTTTATGAATATGTAAGATAGCATAGTGGTTGAAACCATGACCATAACATTACTCAAACAAACCTGAGTTTACATTTTGATTCTCTCACTTAATAGCTGTATGACTAGATGTAGGTCGTCTGTATTTCCTCATTTAGAAAATGGAAATAATACCTACTATACAAGATGGTTATAAGAGTTAATCTCAGAAATTAAACTGATATTATTGTTGTTATTGATTATCATCAGCATTTGCATTTTACTCTGATTTATATATAGTCCAAACAATAGAATTGGATCAATCCAGAAAATCTTAAAAGAAACTCAGAAATGTTTTCCAATGGAAAATCGTTGGCTTGTTGCTCCTACAACTTAATTTTTCCTGATGTATCTATCATGAAAGATGAGATGGGTGCTTGCTGGTTTGGATAGTATTCATGACATAATTTTATCTTACTGGAGTCAGTACGCTTCAGGTATAGAAACATTTTTGTCAAATAATGGAGAACTGATTGACATTAACCAAATTTCAGAAGTGTAAATTTATAAGCATAAATGCCATGTCATTTGTCAATCATGGGAAGTATATCTAGCAACATAACAAATATCTATTGTCTATATGGATCAAACTCTTCCTGCTGAACAGAAGGCTAAATTATACATTATTCAACTGTTAGACAAATAGAGAATTAGAGCCAAGAATTATCTTCTCTCCTTTTAAAAATGTTCTTACTAATAACTAGTCTTTTATTTTCATTAGATATAGTCTCTTACACTTGGATGGTATTAATTGAACACTAATTTTACAGCATCCATTTAAAAAAGAATGTATGGTAAATATTTAAGAAACTCAAGAAGAAAAATAAAAATACCTAGGACTGAACTTCAATGAAGATACTACATGTAAATATTTTAGTAATGCAAAGAGGTACTCAGGGAATGCTTGTGTTAGAAAAGATTAAAAGGCTGAAAATTATGATGTACTCATCTAGTTTAAGAGTTTAGGAAAAGAAAAGTAAAAGAATAAATAATAAAAATAAGAGCATAAATCAATATAATGAAAAACAAGCTTCTGGATGATGGGATTATGGAGCCAGAAGTTAATCCTTTTAAATGAATAACAAAATAAACCTCTATGGATATTAATTGACAAAGTGAAAAGAAAGTACAGTATTTAAATGGAGACATAATTGAAACATCAGAAAATAAGTACATAATAAGATAAAATTATAAACATTGTAGCAAACACTTCAAAAGCTTAGACAAAGTGAAAATTTTTTATAAAAATATAACCTAATAAACCGTGAATTAATAAGTCATTGTACATCTACTAAAAAATAAAATAAGTAATTTAAAATATTTCCACAAAAGAAATACCAGATCATGATAGTTTTAGACAGATTCATCAGAATTTCAAAGAACATTTTTTTACCATCTTACACAAATTCTCTCACAAAATTAATAAAAATGGGTTAATTCTCAATTTTCTGTTGGGCCAGTGTAACCTATTTTAAACCAAAGGGTTAATATAAGAAAGGGACTTAACAGGCTAGAATCACTTGTAAATAAAAAATGCAAAATCCTTAATGAAATATTACTGAATTTAAGAAAACTTCCTCCACTTGATAAAATATAACTTCGGCAGATATAATTTTTAATATTAGAAAAAAATCTATATAAATAAGAATTTTTAAAGGAGTGTAAAATTTCTCTGGTTATTTCCAGCATTGTGCTTGTCAGCATAGAAAGATAAGAAAAAGAAAAAAAAATCATTAAGATTGGCAAGAAAGATTGTTTATGTAGAAAAATTCAAATTGAACCACGGTAAATTTATTAGAAGTAAAGAAGAGACAGACTTCACAAGGTGGTTGGTTAATATTATTTTAAAATAAAATTATATTTTTGTATATGAAGAATTAGGTTAGAAAACATACTTTTTAAATTATTATTATTTTTTATCTTCACCCGAGGGCATTTTTCCATTTTTTTGTTCAGATAGAGTGGGAGGGGAGAGAGAGAGAGAGAGAGAAACATTGATGTGAAAGAGACACATCGAGTGGTTGCCACCCACACGACCCAACCAGGGCCGGGGACAAACTGCAACCGAGGCACGTGTCCCCAGCGGGAACCGAACACGGGTCTCTCTGGACCATAGGCCGACACTCTAACCACTGAGCCAAACTGGCCAGGGCTAGAAAACATACTTTTAACAGGATTTCTTATAGCAGTGGAACTTATAAGATACAAAGGATAAAGCCAACAAATGTGGAAAATTTGAGGGACTACAATGAAAAATTTCATAGAAATTTAAGTAGAGAGAATGCCATGTTGTTGGCTAATAATACAATGCTGTAAGACATGCCAGATTTCCCTAAATTGATGTATTCATTCAAAGCAGTTCAAGTAAAAATTTCAATAGGATATTTTTGTACAGTTTGATAACCTAATATAAAATTAATATGGAAGAGCAAAAGGGAAAGATCAAAGATATGATGGATTTGCTTTTCAATATACGATGATATAATAACAAAGATAGTGAGTTATTGGTTTATGGATAAACAACCTATACAAGAAAAAAGTAGACCACTAAATATCCTAGCAGATATTACACATTTATTTATGGTAGGTGACATCGCAGATCATTGGTGATCTGTGGAAATAGTAAATAAACAATGCTGGGTTGTGTTAGCCATATGGAAAAAACGAGGTTGCATTGTTTTTCATACCACACATAAATTCTATTCAAGAGGGATGAAGGTGTAAATGTTAAATGGAAAATATAAATTTTCAGAAGTATATAGGCAAATATCTCTCTGCTCTTAAGCTCAGGAAAATTTTCTTAAACAAGACTGAAAACAGTACTTTTAAAAGAGAAGATCAGTACATTCAATATCATTAAACTTAAGTTCTTGAATTCATCAGAATGTGAAAAGACAAGATCCAAATAGACAAATTGCTCACTATTTAGCCTCTATAGAATTAATAACAAAATAGATCAAGACTTCCATCAGGAGAGTAATTATCAAGATTTGGAAGAAAGAAAATTTACGAACTCTATATTTTCTACGCCAAAGCCTCATGCTTGAATGTACACAAGATCACTCAAAGGCAGATAAAATAAACTTCATTTTTTATTGATGTAATTATTATTTTACACCAGAGGCAGATCTGATTCTTGACCAAAACCAGAAGCCTGTAATCTTTATGCTCTGTAGTAAATCTGGCATATTAAACTAATCATTAGGCTGATCTTGAGCATTTACAAGGTGAAACCTTGTTACAAACTGAGTAACAATTCATAAATCTCTCAGTAGCTTCATCTGTGTTATCCCTCCTCTCTCCTGAGTTTGTTTAGAATGTATGTGTTAATTCTATAAACCCTTATATGCCCAGTCTGTTGGAATGTTGTCAGATAATTATAATTTGCATATCGGTTGGAGCTATAACAGCCTCAGGTTGATTGGGTCCAAAGTTTAATAACATAAGGATTTAGAAGGAAAATAGTGAGTTCATTCAGTGGGACCACATGATCAAAAAGGATAGGTTTCTTCTGTCTAACCATTAAAAGGAGAAAAATAAGAATGTAATTCCTGGCAACAAAGACTCTTTCTTTCCTAAGAGTGTAGGGATTAAAACCAACAAAACAAGTATATAGGCTATTTCTTTTCTTTTTTTTTTTTTTTTTTGGCATATGTAGGCTATTTCTAATATTAGAGGGCGTTTCTAGAATATTCAAATATTGCTGCTTTAAACATTTTACACAATATGAACTCTCAATGTTTTATAAACCTATGGTAAAGCATTTATCTTCTGATAACTGAGTTTAGTCTGGTTAACGAATAATATGTAATATAAGTAGACAAAACAAGTCTTTAAAAAAAAAAAGCAACAATGTTTTTATTGATCATTAAATGTTTTCTCCTTTTATTAAATGCTTTAGTAAATGATTGTATTGTGTAGAGTGTGCCGATTGCTGAGACACATGTAGAGGAAAGATATATTAAAAAATAAAATTTAATGTTTATATATGTGATATATTTCATAATTAAACATGAACATAATCTGTATTAGCTATCAAAGTTCTACATAGATCACATCAATGCTATTTTTGCCAGAGCATGATTAACATTTTAAAATTTTGTTACAGATTTGTTTTCAATAAAAACTCACACACGGAGCCCCTAAATTATAATAATTTTTACTGCCCTGTCTTCAGCTATTTCTTAGAAAACATACACAATTCAAAATTTAGATGTATTTGTCAGTTTGTGGATAATTTATTTCAATTTTTTTTCTCGAAGCAATAGAGACACAGCTAAACTAATAGTTTAAAAGGGATGTTTGAGATGTCTTAAATTATGTTTCCTCTCCATGAGCATGGAAAATAAATAATTGAGTATGCTTAATTTATTATACATGTATACTAGAAAAAGACACATGCATGCTTTTGAAATAATATGTTATTTATATTTTGAAATTTACCCAGACTCAAGTGTCTTGGTCTAAAATAATCTAAAACTGACTTAACTTAGCTATTTTAACTTAGCTTTTTCTCCAATAGATTTTATCAACCAGTATAAAATCACTTATATATTATTTTAAGCTTTAAGCCATTTAGGAGTTTTATCTTATACATTTCAAGAATAAGTCAAGAACAATATACCTACATCATGAAATATGTGTAAAAATATGTAAACTCATAGTGACTTCCCTTCTCTCTATATATCTTGTTCTCATGTTCCATTCAAACTCCTTTCATTTATTTTTCAGGTAGGTGAGAGGTTTTTATTGCCTTAGTAATCACCAATTTTAATTATTGCTGTTTGCTTTATAGGGTCAAAGAGAATAAGTGATAGTGAAATCTCTGACTATGACTGTGATGATGGAATTGGTGTGGTATCAGGTAAGAATTTCAGAGTTATTTTATAGTAATTTGAAGGAAGAGTAGCTCATCATTATTCACCAGTTGATAGATAGATGGGTGGGTAGGTAGGTAGGTAGGTAGGTAGTTAAAGAGATAGAATGAGAAAGAAAAACTTGCCTCCTCATCACACCAGAAACATCCTTATGGTAATTTATTATTATTATTTTTATTCTTGAACTAATATATTTTTTCAACTTTATTTTATTTTTTTATTAATTTGTTTTTGTTACAGATGTTTCTCCTTTTCCCCCCATTGATATCCTCCTCCCCATCCCCACCACCCTTTCCCCAACTTTGTTGTCTATGTCCATTTATTATGTGTACATGCATATAAGTTACGTGGTTTATTTCTTCCCCCCCAACATCCCCTCTTCTGGGGTTTGTCAGTCTGTACCGTACCTCTATGCCTCTGGGTCAATTTTGTTCATCAGTTTGTTTAGTTCATTATATTCCACAAATAAGTGAGATCATGTGATATTTGTCTTTCTCTGCTTGGCTTGTTTCACTTAGCATAATACTCTCTAGGTCCCTCCATGTCGTCTCAAATGATAAGAGATCTATCTTTCTTACAGCTGCATAGTATTCCATTGTATATATGTACCACAACTTTTTTATCTACGCATCTACTGACGGACACTTGGGTTGTTTCCAGATCTTAGCTATTGTAAATAGTGCTGCTATGTAATTTAAACTCCTGAATAGTTCCAGTTGGTGGAAAACCTATACCAATTTTTAGACCAAAAATTCTTATGGAAATATTTTAGGCAAATGAATACTTATTAATTTCCCATTTTAAACCACTAAATAATAAGGATTTCAGTATAATTTTGTGTAGTTATTGTATAATTGAAACTTCTTTGTATACTATGCTAACATTGTAAAAAAGAATAAAATCTTTTTGACATCACCAGCATACTCAAATATGTTAAATATTTGAATAAAGTAATATAGATTTTTTTCATTGTTATTTATTGATTAAATATCAAGTACAGCTACATTTAGAAATTATGATACTGTAGTTTAAAATATTTGCTAATTTATGATTATAAATTATCTGATGACTTAAAATTTAGGTAAGAAGCCATTTTAAAAAACTAAATTCGAGAAACAAAAATATGTCACACTATACTCTTAATATTATAAAAATGTTTCTCTTCTTCTTGAAGGTAAATTAGCCTAATGAATTTCAAGTGTATGACTAATTTTACCTTGAACACATATGTTCTCATTGCATGTAAAACATGCTACAGTTGCATCGTTGATTAATAAGAATTTTTGTTGGGCAATTCTTGTTAGAGTTGCATCAATTAACGTGCTATCAGGTTACTACTTTTTAAAATTAAATGACTATCTTTTAACCTTTATTTTTGCACTATGGGTGAACAATATATTATTTTACTAAGACTGCAAAAAATAATTTACATGTTTTATGGTATATGAATTAAACCTCAATAAAATAGTTTTGAAAAATAAACATGTCACATCCACTCCTATCTTGAGGCCTTTCCGCTTGTCTTGGAATGCACTTCTCTGTATGTCTGCTTGGCAAAACATCTCACTTCCTTCAAATATTTCTGAAATGTCAACTTCCTAATGAGTTCTCTCTATATATAGACCTAGCCTGACCACTATAAAATTGCAAAACTCCCATATTCTGGAATTTTTTTTATCTCCCTTTACCCTGTTCTATATTTTTCATAGCACCTCACACATACTGTACAATGTTTAATGAGCTTTTAATTGTCTCTATCACTTTTCAACTAGAATTTAGGCCCTGTAAAGGCAAGGCTTTTTGTTTGCTTTGCTCACTGTAGCATCTGGGCCCTGGCCAATTTGGCTCAGCGGTTTGAGCATCAGCCCATGGACCAGAGAGTCCCAGGTTCACTTCCCGCTAAGGTAAGGGCACATACCTAGTTGCAGTTTGTCCCTGGCCCTGGTTGGGGTCGTGTGGATGGCAGCCAGTCCAATGTTTCTCTCTCTCTCTCTTCCTTCTTCTCTCCTTCTGCTCTATCTGAAGATAAATACAAAAATGTCCTCGGGTGAGGATAAAAAAAAAGAATAGCGTCTGGTATGTACATATACTCACAAATTTTTGTTGAATCAATGAATGTATTTGATTCTTTTTGTAGTTTGTTGCCATTACTAATTATCATATTCCAAAGTTGTGCCACTAGCTCTATGTGGCTATTTAAATTTAAATTGATTTAAAATAAGTACATTAAAAATTCAGTTTCTTAACACTAGCCAGATTTTAAGTGCTTAGTAGTCGTGTATGTCTAGTGGCTACCATATTGAACAGTGCTCATATAGAACATTTCTGTCATCTCAGAGTTCTTTTGGACAATGCTGTTCTAAGTTTTATAAAAGCAATTAATTTTGCTGTAATCTCTGTTACCTTTAGTCTGAACTGTATACTGCTGTCAGCTTCATCTTCCTAAATTATTACTTAGATTATGAGTAATTAGAACACAGTGAGAGCGTTAGAGTCATAGATCTTATTTATATCACAGTCCTATGATTTGATACTTAATATAAATTTGTTTCCTTAAATGTAAAATGGGGATAATATCTTGTTTCCAGAATTGTTTTTATTACATTGTTATTTATTCCTGAAAAAAACAACCACCTTGTTGTTCTGCAAAATCACGGACTCACAACAGTAGGGTGTGTGTGTGTGTGGGAAATCTAGATAAGACCATTAAAACCCATTTAGCTTTGCAATCAGAACACTAAAAATATAAATACAAGCACAATTAAAAAGTCATATTAAGTTTTAAGCAATAAAATATTAAACATAGGACTTTAAAATGAACATATCTGTATGGAAGGAATGTATCTAGATGGAAAGGAGGATATGTCTGCAAAGTTATGGTGTCAAGGCAAATATTCACAAACACCAGTAAGTACCCATGAGATAACTACCTCTAAGACAGAGTCTGTGACCAAAGTAAACTAAGAGGAAGAACACAGGGTGAATGAGCATTTGAAGTGGTTCTGTATCACTCTGACTTGCTACATCCAGCTGTGTCAATGTGCTTTGCATTCAGCTGCTATTATTTAGTAGTTGTAGTGGACATTGTTGGTATTCCACCCATAATCCTCTTTACCTCAGCTAACCCATCCCAGGCTACTATGAATGTTGATTGCTAACAGCAGCTGCCTTCTTCTGCAGAGAATTGACCTTAGACAAACAAAAACCACTCCAGGCAGGAGATTAAGTACCTCACCCACTAACCACTGACATTCTTAATCCGGTAACTGGCTATGTATGAGTACAGAAGTCTAGGACCCTTGCCTCAAAATTGAAGCAACCCTGGTGCAATTCATGTTCCAGAGCCTGTGCTGAGATGAGGCTGAGACAACATTTTTGCTTAGTTTCTTCTCATACCCTCTTCTGCTCTTCTAATTCCTTTCTTCTAAGAGCAACCTTCAATAATTCATGAGCGCCTGAATCTTTAACTCTTTTGCTCTGCTTCTAGGGAACCTAAGATAATACTGCAAAACATTAATATGTTGGGGAAAACCACATGTAAATCAATGCTTCTTCCGAGTTTATTTCTGAAGCAAGTGTTGGAGCAGAACACTTTGTAAAGTGCCTGTCAGTGTTTCTAGCACATAGTAAAAGGTCATTTAATAGTGGCCATGATGGCCCTGGCCAGTTTGGCTCAGCGGTTAGAGCATTGGCCTGCGGTCCGGAGAGACCTGGGTTCGGTTCCCGCTAAGGGCACGTATTTTGGTTGCAGTTTGTCCCCGGCCCTGGTTGGTCGTGCGGGTGGCGGCCACTTGATGTGTCCCTTTCACGTCGATGTTTCTCTCTCTCTCTCTCTTCCTCTCTCTCCCTCCCACTCTATCTGTACAAAGGATGGAAAAGTGTCCTCGGGTGAGGATTAAAAAAAAAAAAAAAAAATAGTGGTCATGATGAGCATGATGAAGATAATGATGATGGTACTATCACATTCTGCTCAGAAATTTTCAGGCTCTTTCCATTACAACCTCATGACATTTTACGTATATTCAACTTGGGTTAAACTTACTGGTATGGCTGATTTCCTCACTGCTGCCCCACAATGAACTCCTACTTTTCTACCACCTTAGAATTTCTTCTACTTTTTCTCCATCTGCCAAATATCAATTGCTTTCAAGGACTCGTTTGAGTAATATCACTTCTAATACACTTTGTCTAAGTGTGTTAAATCATTGGATTGTTTCCCTCCTTTGGTGTGTCAGGTTTTTCTTCTCAGGCTTTTTGTTATTTGTCTCAGCCCTATCAAATACTATAAGAAAAGCAGTTCACAAAGGTACTTCAAATAGTATTCAGAGTGCTTTCTAATAGTGTTTATTTATTAAAGAAATAACTATAGGACCAGCTAGTGTGGCTCAGTGGTTGAGCATTGCCCCATGCTCCAAGAGGTCGCCAGTTTGATTCCCAGTCAGGGCACATGCCCAGGTTGTGGGCCAAATCCCCAGTGGGCATGCACAGGGTGGCCAGTCAATGTTCTCTCTTATTGATGTTTCCATTTCTCTCTCTCCCTTTCCCTTCCTCTCTAAAATCAATAAAGAAGAAAAACAAGAAATAACTATAGACTTCACCCCCACTCCCTCCTCTGAAGTTTGTCAGTCTGAACCCTACTTCTTTGTTTCTGGGCCTATTTTGTTCATCACCTTATTTTGTCCATTATATTCCACAAATAAGTGAGATTATGTGATACTGTCTTTCTCTGACTGGCTTCTTTCACTTAGCATAATACTCCCCAGGTCCCTCCATGTTATTTCAAAGGGTACAGTTTTTGAGAACTAGTTGAAACTCTCCTAGGTCATGGAAGAGATGAAAATATTTTTAGAATAAACTTGAGTATTTTATTGAAGAGAATTTCATTTATTTATTTTTTTAATTAATTTATTTATTTTTGTTACAGATGTACCCCCACCACTGATTCCCTACCCCCCCCCCCCTGTCCCCAGCTTTGTTGTCCATGTTCTTTGTTCATGCACACATGCATGTAAGTTCTGTGGTTTATCTTTCCCCCACTACCCCCTCTTCTGGGGATTGTCAGTCTGTACCCCACTTCCATGTCTCTGGGACTACCCTATTCCTCAGACTGTTATGTTCATTATATTCCACAACTAAGTGAGATTATATGATATTTGTCTTTCTATGTTTTGCTTGTTTTGCTTAGGATAATACTTTCCAGGTCCCTCTATGCCATCTCAAAGGATAAGAGATCTTTCTTTCTTACAGCTGCATAGTACTCCATTGTGTATATGTACCACTGCTTTTTTATCCATTCGTCTACTGATGGACACTTGGGCTGTTTCCAGATCTTAGCTATTGTAAATAGTGCTGCTACGAACATGGGTGTACATATATTCTTTCTGATTGGTGTTTTAAGTTTCTTAGGGTATATTCCTAGAAGTGGGATCACTGGGTCAAAGGGCAGTTCAATTTTTAATTTTTTGAGGTAATACCATATTGTTTTCTGTAGTGGCTGCACCAGTCTGCATTCCCACCAGCAGTGTACATGCAAAAAAATGAAACTAGACCATCAACTTACACCATACACAAGAATAAACTCAAAATGGGTAAAAGACTTAAATGTGACTCATGAATCCATAAAAATCCTAAAAAAAATGTAGGCAACAAAATTTCAGACATCATACGCAGCAGAATTTTCACTGATACATTACCTAAGGCAACAGAAACAAAGGAGAAAATGAACACATGGGACTACATCAAACTCAAAAGCTTCTGCACAGCAAAAGATACAGTCATCAAAATGGAAAGGCAACCCACTGTATGGGAGAGCATAACTGTCAATGATATATCAGTAAGGGGTTAATTTCCAATATATATGGAGCGCTCATACAACTCAACAAAAGGAAAACAAAGAACCCAATTAAAAAATGGGCAGAGGCTGGTTGGTCGTGCGGGTGGCAGCCACTCGATGTGTCCCTTCACGTCGATGTTTCTCTCTCTCTCTCCCTTCCTCTCTCTCCCTCCCGCTCTATCTGTACAAAAAATGGAAAAATATCCTCGGGTGAGGATAAAAAAAAAAATTAAAAAAAAAAAAAAAAAAATGGGCAGAGGAACTAAATAGACACCTCCCAAACAGGACATACAAATGGCTAAGAGACATATGATGAAATGCTCAACATCACTAATCATCAGGGAGATGCAAATTAAAACAACAATGAGGTATCACCTCACACCTGTCAGAATGGCTGCCATCAACAAATCAAACAACAAGTGTTGGCGAGGGTGTGGAGAAAACGGGACTCTAGTACACTGCTGGTGGGATTGAAGAGAATTTTATATAAAAGTTTCCTTCTTCCAAGCCCAGTGCCTTGGATGTTGTAGCTATGTAAATATTTGAATATTTGTCATTCTTTTTTTAAGTGTTTAAAAAATATTATTATATCTTACTATTAAGCTATGCCTTTAATATATTCAAAGCCTTGTCACTCCACCAACATTTTCTGTTTTTCAGTAAAGTACAAAATACAGGAGGATTTAGTGTGTAGATAACTGTCATTTTAATATTTCTACCTTTAGATTATCGACACAATGGTCGAGATCTTCAAAGCTCAACATTATCAGTGCCAGAACAAGTAATGTCATCAAACCATTGTTCACCATCAGGGTCTCCTCACCGAGTAGATGTTATAGGAAGGACTAGATCATGGTCACCCAGTGTCCCTCCTCCACAAAGGTAAGAGAACATACACATTTTATTTGTAGGATGCTATTACAATCCTATTAATCATAAAATACCCCAAATAACCTCTAAAGAAAATAAATTCTTGTGGAAAAAGTTACTTCAGGAAAAACAAAGATGCTATTGGCTAATGGATAACCTACATAATGAGAGTAATATAAAATATAGGCTACTTTATAACTTTGGATGACCCATATATTATTTTATTGTAAGAGTTCAAAATTATAAATGGGATCCACCTTTAAATCACTCATCAATACTGAGAAAATCTAATTATAACCAATTTATTATATTCATAAATGATAGAGATATTGATAATTTAAGAAATAGGAAAAAATAAACATATGATGAGGCTTTAAAGTTAGGGACACTCGTATGAAGAATTAAAAGGAATGCACAGGCAGTGGGAAGAAAGGCTTAGGAAATCTGTAGCTTCATGTTTTATGCCTAGTGGAAAACTCCAATCAATCCAGTGACGTTCAGAAAGGCTTAATGGTGTAAGAGCCATGGAAATAATTTCCATGTTTGCTAATAAGAAATATGTGCATAATTCACAATTTATATACTTGCAGTGTGTCAGAAATTCGAACTCTTAGAATGATAGCCTTATAACACCTATTACAAATGAATAATTGAATTAGTTTTAGACTTGGAATTTTTCATTGTTATCCTAATTTTATTCATGGTATTGGACCATCTAAAAGAACATGAGATTTATTATAGTTATACATTTAACTTATTTAATTTATGAGGATATTACATACTTAAAAAGTGTTTAATTTAGACAATGAAATTAGGAAAATGTTATATATTAACTTTATAAACATAGTTTAAAATGTTTGAAGATGTTGACTTAAGTTTGTCAATGAGACAAAAATGAGTTTTCTGAAAAGTAATTTCTTGAATGTGATAGACCTCTCTCAATAGAGGCACTTACATAAAAGATTTATTCTGTCATGAAAAGGAATAGACAATCCAGGCTTAAAATGGCAGCTTTAAAAATGACTTATAAATACTTCAGTTTAGATTTTAAAAAAGAAATAATCATTATCCCTAATATAAGATCTACCAATATGTTGTCTATAAACAACATGCTGAACTTGTTTTCTCTACAGAAATCTGTTTTTTCAGCTGTATTTCTGTAGCATTGAATATCACTACTAGAGACCTCAGAGGCGTATGTTAATAGTTTTGATAATCATTATCTCTATCCTTATTGATTTTAACTTAATTTTATGTCATATCTCTGTTCAGAACCGACCTCCTAACTTCACTATCTATCTCCAGTGGGTATTTACACCTTTGGCCAGGGGTACAATTAATTAGTTAAAACAAAACAAAAAACTTGGACTTGACTTTATAGTAATTTTTGTCTTTTTGTTAGTGTAGTATATGATTGTGGTTTTAAGATATTTAATGGATCTTGCTATTCCAGTCGGAATGTGGAGCAGGGACTACGAGGGACACGCTCTGCTACTGGGCATTATAATACAATTAGTAGAATGGATAGACATCGTGTCATGGATGACCACTATTCTCCAGACAGAGACAGGTGAGTATGATTAAATACTATCCTACTTTATTGTAGTTGTTGCCTCCGGGAAAAAGGTATTACCACACAATGGTTTCATCCAGAACTAGGGTATTTCTTATCTTAGGTTCTAAAACCCTGTGTTTCCTTTATAATGCCTTCATTCATTCTTATGAACCCACTATCATTAAAAAAAAAATACAACAACCAGACAAAAAACTACAATATTTTCTTTGGTAAGAAAGAAAAATAAAATCATATGGCTTTTGTGATTATGGGCTTTTGTTAAATCAAGCCAGTAAGTTAGTAAATTTGCACATGAGGTTATAATGTTAGTCATAAAGAAACAAGGTGTTTTATTATTTTTACCTTACCATAATTATTATATATAAAAATACTTTCATGAGACAATAGATTTTAGTCTATTACTTTCATCAGGAAAATCAATGTGACTTTTTATGTATTAAAATATTGAGATAAGTCTGGTTTGTTTAGGAAACAAACACAAAAACTGATTCATGAAAGGTTTTTCCTCATGGCTTTCAGTAAACTTTTTAAGCATCTTAAAGAATCATGCAGTTGATCATTGTTTTTGAACAAATTCTCTGAATTTACTCTATTAAATGTGACATACTGGGAAGTAATATGGTATGTTTTAATGCATACATTAATTACTACTAATTTTTTTTAATTAAGCAGATTGATTAACATTCTAATTCATGGTTTCCTTGTATGTAAAATGAAAAATGCTTTGATATTTTCCCAAAACTATCAAATGGATTTGAGATAAGGAAAGAAAATGTAATTTACCATTCAAAGAATGTTGTGATAAAATAACAGAGGAACTCAGAAGTCCTTTTGTATACATCCTGAACTAATTTTAGTAGAACTATTTGGGAGATTTTAAATCAACTCATATGAGGTATATCTGTCAATATCCACAAATTTGTTATGTCTAAATCTAGGGTTATACTCAATTCATGCTTATAATTTAATTGTCTTTTAGCAAACTTTTTCAAAAGTAAATATATGGAATATGTTAGTCTTTAATAATGTCAAACAGCTATTTGCTTTTGAGTCTGAGATTTAAGAAGAAATTAAAACATTATTAAATTAATAGCTTTATCAGTGTTGAATGAAGGTTAATGTAGTATAGTACTTATTTTTAATTTGTTTGACTTTTTCTTATTTATGTCTTTAGGTGTAATTATAGGTATGCTACCTATAGAAATTTATGCTTATCAAGAACAATAATAGTGAAAAAAAATAACTATATTGGCATAATTAGAAGTTTGAAGGAGTCATATTATGGTGTATGAATGAGTACTTTTGTTAATTAATTGAATTTTAATGAGTGTGATTATTTCTGGAAATTATGTATATAGTGATTCATAAACTCCTTGTTTATTGAAAGTTTAGGGAAATGATGAAACAGAAAAGTCTGAATGACTTTAAATACTTCAAGTTTATGTTAAGGTTTTCTTTTAATGAAAAGTGAACTTGATATTTTTTTCTGAAGACAATATCATCTAAATCTTGCAAAGAAGAATGAAATAAAATTAGCCCCTAGAATTATACTCGCATGCAAAAAGTGTCAGTATCGTGCAAACACATAATATTTTATTAGTATTTTAAGGCAAATGGCTCTAAGATTAATGACAGAGAATTTGACTAAACCTTGGTATTACCTGATATAGTCATAACTGAAAGGTCATCATATTTTTCTTGTTTACTTTATAACTTGATGAATCTTCTAGTTTAGCAAAAATTTTCAAGTAGTTCAAAGTTTTGGGGAAATTGACCTATGTGGTTTTACTACTATCTTAGAGTGCCTTATATTAAGAGATCATAATTACTGTTAAGTGTGAGCTATATTTAATCCTTTTTGAAATAAAGAAAATAGAATTTCATTTAAACAGGACTATAAAGCCATTTCTAATATTCTATTTTTGAGTTATATGTGCAATCATTAACACGAGGAATCAAAAATAAAGTACAGTATTATCCATGTAGTCTATCACAATATTAAACAATGGGTTCTTAATTTCTGTTTATTCTAGTATTCTAACTATTTTCAGTAATAGACCGCATATGAAGTCATTGTAATTTTATGTATTATTTAATTGATAAGAAAACTCTAGGACTCTTACAGTAAATTTTCATGAACAGTATTTTATCAAATCAATCAATCATACTATTGATTAAATAGTCTAAAAGAAAACTTCCTTTGAAATAGTAAGTGAATTTAGGTATTTTGCATGGTACATTAACCTTTCTTTTCAGTAAGAATTGATGCACTGAACTAGAACAGTATTTTATTGAAAACTTTGTCATAGGATTTTGAACTAAATGGCATGGGCTTGAATTTAGGCATTTTGTCACTTGCTGACCATGTATCTTTGGGAAAATTAACCTCTTTGGAATTTGATTTCCTTATCTATGTCATTATAATATTAGTACCAATTTTACAGGGTTTTTGGGCACATTGAATGACACAGTGCCTCCAGTTGCAGAGTATATACTCAGGAAATGTGCCTTACCTTTAACATTTTAAAAGGATCTTTTGTCTTACAAATAATTTTACATTTTTGTGCTTATCAATTAATCAGGGAAAAAAAGAGAAATTGGTCAATTTGATGTTTTTTTAAAAAACTGCGTAGAGAATGTAGGACATGAGCTGGACCTTGAAAAATGAGCATGTTTATTCAGGCAAGAACAAGAATGAAGATATAAGGACAGAACACACATATACATCAGAGAGACCCAGTAGGAAGGATGAAGGACTTAGGTCATGTTGGAAAGTTATGAATGAGGATAATGGCTTTTACTTTGGCTATATTGGGTGAAAAATATTGCTATTTGACATTACTTTATAGTACCTGGTTAAACTTAAGTGATGTAAGAAGGAGATATGATGTTCATATTCTTCTCTTATAGGTAACAAAAAAATCACATTTAAAAAATCAAAATTTGACTGGATCTTTAGTTCTCTGCACATTACTCGTTTATCATTAGTCAGAATCCTATTATGTTTTGAAAAGGGAATAAGTTTTTTTTTTTTATCCTCACCTGAGGACATTTTTCCATTTTTTTTGTACAGATAGAGTGGGAGGGAGAGAGAGGAAGAGAGAGACACAGAGAGAGAAACATCGACGTGAAAGGGACAGATCTAGTGGCTGCCACCTGCACGACCAACCAGGGCCTGGGACAAACTGCAACCGAGGTACACGCCCTTAGCGGGAACTGATCCCAGGTCTCTCTGGACCGCAGGCCGACGCTCTAACCGCTGAGCAAAACTGGCCAGGGTGGAAATGAGTTCTTTACAAGTAATTTAGAAACTCCAGTGCAGGGATATAAGCTAAAATGATGAATTGCAAAAGGCATCTCTCATCTTTCTTTCTATCCCTTATTACTTTTTGTATCATTGTTTCTCTGGAAAATTGTGGTAACTACTATAACTAGGAATATAATTTTCCTGGGGCAAACTATGTGGCTTTAGTATTAGAAAACATTTCAAAAGCTTATTTCTTTACATGATTTAATTTACTAACAGAATAAGTATGGAGTACTAGATAATATTCCTGTAATACGTCAGAGATACCCTGCAGTAAGAATTTTTACATTTATCCTAGAGGCCAGAATAGTTTGGGTATATGGAGTTAAACAAAAATCTTTCACGGCTGAAATCTTTTCTGAAAGGAAAGGTTTATTAAGCCAAATGCTAGCCAGAAAGGGACCAGGTCCTGCAGTGTGAAGTCTAAGCAACAGCATGGCGAGGCAGAAAAGACAAAAATGCTCGGTCCTGGAGTTGACTGATGGTTTTATGTTTTAGGGAAGAAAGATAAAGTTGTTTTGAAAGAACTTACATTGGCTATAGATGATGTGGAAAGAAGTGAAGCAGGGGCATTTCTAGGATATGTGCACATTCAGTAAGGAAGTAATATTTATTACTTTTGATTGATTGTGGGAAACAGTCCTGAAAGTTCATGTATAAGCAGGTTGCTGTTCTATCTGGCAGTCACTGCAGAAGTTGATTTAAAGCTCCAGCATACACGCAGGAATGTAAGCAGTCTCTTAGGCCCGCAGCTATTAATGGGTTAAATACTCTTGTTTAGTTTCTTTCTCTTACTCCCAGCCCACTGTAATTTAATGTAGAAAATATCAGAATTTCTTTTTTGTCAATACTTTTAGCATACTAAGAAAAATATATAATTAACACTGGCAGAAAATATTAGTTCATAAACTTTCTTCTGTGTGTTCAATTAATACATTTATAGTTTAAAAAGAAAAATGCCCTACTATATGGATCCCTAAGATACACTACATACTTGAGCCACTTCTATTCTTTATTAGGCATCCAGCTAGCAGAAAGCGTCAAATCCATAGTCTTTGGGTCCTTTTTGTTACCAACTGTGAGGTGAAACATGTCTCTGAAAGTCTGAGATTATAGGGAAAGTAAATGAAAAGAGAACTTGCTTTACAAAATAATGCAACATTTTATTACATTTCAGGAATATATTTTAACATAGTTAAATCATACTGAGTATATTTTAGGAATTATAGAGTAGCAAAACAATAACAATATTAGTGACAGAGCAGAAAGTTTTGTATTAAATTGAAATTGTTATAAACTTAGCTTTAAAAAACTATTAGTTACTTAAGGGTATTATATTTTATCCTCTCATTTTGCAGTCCTTTTTTATGTGTCTGGTGGTTTCTAAAAGGGGATAATTGGGCTAATTTAATATAATGGAAGGGTAATTTATTATAAATATGACTTTGTTCTGTCTTTAAGGATTATATTACTTAATAAGAATCAAAGTATGCCTAGATATGGGATCAGTGATCTATTCAATTCTTTGAATCATCAATTTAGAATGTGTGACCTCAGTTTTGTTTTGCTTTTTAAAATGTAGTAATTTTTTAGTTTTCTGTTTTTTCTTTTACAATAAATTAGTGTTCTGCTTAGTTTTTTTAGAAATTTAGAACAGATTGGATTAAATGATATTTTTATTTTATTATTATTATTATTTATCCTCACCTGAGGACATTTTTCCATTCCTTGCACAGATAGAATGGGAGGGAGAGAGAGGAAGGGAGAGAGAGTGAGAAACATCGACGTGAAGGGACACATCGAGTGGCTGCCACCTGCACGACCAACCAGGGCCGGGGACAAACTGCAACCGAAGTACGTGCCCTTAGTGGGAACCGAACCCGGGTCTCTCCGGACCGCAGGCCAACGCTCCAACCGCTGAGCCAAACTGGCCAGGGCTAAATGATATTTTTAATGTAGCTTACTTTATGGTTTAACTCATGTATATTTAAAGACAGTATTTATTGCTTAGATTTTTACAATATGTTAATTTTGGAAGAAAAATAAGCATGGCTTAATAGAGGAGTGTTTTTTTTTATTTGTACCAAGTGGATGCAGCAAAAGACCTTGGATGCATCTCTGAATCTTGGGTGGATTTTAGGGGGCTTACTGAAACAGTATGGTTAATTTAGTGTAATATTCATTGATGCATTTTATAGGTTTGAATAGAATCTTAAGGGGGTCTTATGGCCAGAATAGGTTAAGAGGTATAACATGGTTGTAGAAGAACATATAGAAAGGGTTTTCCAGAAAAACAGAACCAATAGTATAGATAGATAGGTGATATATAGGTAGGTAGGTAGGTAGGTAGGTAGGTAGGTAGACAGATAGTAAGGAATTGGCTCACATGATAATGGAGGCTGAAATTCCCTACAGTCAGCTCTCTGAAACCTGAGATGCATGAGACTATAGGGAAAGTAAATGAAAAGAGTGTAATTGAGTCCAAGTCTGAAAGTCTGAGAACCAGGGGAGCTGATGGTGTACATCTCAGTCTGAGGGCCAGAGAGATATGAGATGTCAAATTGAAAAGTGAAGCAGAAGAAAAGGGAGGAATTCCTCCTTTTTCCTACCTTTGTTCTATTCAGGCCCTCACCAGATTGCATGATGCCCACCACACCTAGGGTCTTCTACTCAGTCTACTGGTTCAAATGCTAATCTCATCTGGAAACACCCTCACTGACACACCCAGAAATGAAATTTATTGTGGGCACCTCTTGGATAGTTAAGGTAATGCATAAAATTAACCAACACTAAAAGGAAAAAAAAACAACTGAAGGTTGATGGTGATTCTTGCCTAATGTTTTCTTTGACATAGAATTAAAATCAATTATAAGACTCTTCAAGGAATATATTGGAAATTGGATGATGATATATATGTACGATAAAATCAAAAATTTTAACAAGCTTCGAAGTTTACATATTTTCATTACTCTTAAGTAATGCTCAGAGAAAATCCTTTTCAATGCAATAAATCTGGACATCGTAATTGTGGGGTATTATTTCTACTCTGTAAAACCAGGAATGCCCGTTTATTAATCTGTTTTTCTTGTTTTCTTTTACTACATAGGTTTATAGTCTTCTGTTTACATTTCTAGAGTGTATCCATGATTGTGTGAACCATTGCTGTCCTTGGAGAGTAGGTTTACTATGAAAATGTTATAATTCTGTTTTTACTTTTCAATTCAATCCAAAATGAATGTACTGAGTGGGTCAACCACTGTGCATACAGATTTAAAATAGATATTATTTTGGTCTAGATAAACAGATGATCCAACTAGTTATAACAACTAATATACCAACAATTAGTTGTATATACAGTATGCCAACTAATTATAAAAAATAGAGTACAGTGAGGCAGAATCATAATATTAAAACAGACTGGAAAGAAAATTACTGCTTGGGTCTATTAGAAAAGTTTTAAAAAGAAGCTGGACTTTAAAGATTGATTAGAATTTTGAAAAGTGATGAAGTGGAGACAGAGGGGACAATGGGCATTGTTGGCAGAATGATGTGAGCACGAACAAAATTGGAGTCAGGAATGCATGGGATGTATTTAGAGGATCTTAAGTAGTCTGGTATACCTAAATAAAAAGTTGTGGTGTGGGAGATGGGAAGTAATAGGAGATGAAATTTCAGAGTAGTTTAGAACTGAATTTGCATGCCATTTTAAGGAATATGTACTTGTTTTATGATATGAGAAGCCACTGAAGGATTTTGAGCAAGGTACCTACATGATCAGAGCATAATTTGCAAATATACTTCTCTAGACAGAGTGAAGAATGGATTGGATTAGGAGAGGATTGGGCTTTGAGGGAAGGGAGACCTAATAGATTATTTCAATAGACATGGTAACCCTGATTTACAGTAGGGGCAAAAAAAATTTTAAAAAGGGATAAATCCGAGTTAAAATCAATTGAATATGGAAAATAAGAAAGATGAAAGATTAAATTCTAAGATTTTAAAACTTGGTTTATTATATAAATATTTAAATCCTTAGTTGAAACTGGGATTACAAGAAGAGGAATAGCTGACAATTATATTAAGCTCCAAAGGGGAATTACAAAATTATATTGGAAACTAGAAGGGTCTTTAGAGACCTTAGAGTCCCAGGTTCTGAAGAGACACCTGAAGGATAAATGGGAAGGGTCTAAGTTTCTCTTTACCCAGAGTCATTCTGACTTTATTGCATTGAAAACACACACACACACACACACACACACACACACACACACACACATATTTAACATAAAATTTTGTTTGCAAAAAAAAAGGGTCTCCTGGCTCAAAAAAAAAAAAAAATTGAAAACTGCTCTAGCCCCCTCATTTCATAAATTTAACACCAGATGTCCAAATAGTCAAATGTCTTGCTCAAACCTCACAATTAGCATGTGTTTTTCTGGAGTCTACATGACATGCAAGCAGCCATGTGGAGAACCCAGAAAGCAACTGCAAATGTGTCATGAAACCCAAAGAAAAATTAAGGCTAAAGCAAAGTGAGAGCTTATGCTCTAAAAACAAATAATATTATCCAGAGAATGTGTTGGAATATAAGCAAGGTTGAGGGTTAAATCTTGGGAAACCACTGCATCTCAGGAACACAGAAAAAGGGAATCCAGTAGATGAAATGGTTAAAGAAGCAGTTAGATAGGCAAGAGACCAAGCCATGTATACAAACAAATGTTAAGATCCTGAATTTTGGATTAAAGAAGTCTTGAATTTGAAACCCAGTCTAGCTACTTACTATATGGCTATATAGTAACAGCTTCAATATCTCTGTCTGTGGGAATACTAAAACCTACCTCAAAGAGTTGTTATGAGACGTAAATGAGATAAAGTAGACAAAGTTTTAATGTAATACTTAACACATAGTTAAGTGTTAAATACTATTTTTATAAGTCAGAAAAAATAGTGTTTTAAAAACCAAGAGAGGAGTGTCAAGACAAAGAGATTGAAATCAATGTCTGTTTAATACCATAGGTACATGTAGTAGGATGAAGATCAAGAAGAGATTAAAGGATTATTTTTAGGATTTCACAGGTAACATTCACAGGATAGCATGGAGAGAACTGTAGAGGCAGAAATCAAGGAAAGTCAGAGAGCCGCAGTGGCTTATGAGGAAGGCAACTTTAGTTAAGATTTTATTTTTAGGATTAAGTACACTTGAGGAGTGGTAGGCACTAGACAATAATGAAACAATGTCAAGTGGGAAGCAGAATTACAAGTAGAGGAATTTCTTTGGTAAAGGAGAAAAGGACAAGTGAAGATATAAAATATGTATTTACTGTATATTTAGAGGTTGAAGAATGAGAGAGTTCAAGGTTGGTTTCCATGTTTTACTAAAAGGTAATGATCACCTGCCAAAATTAAATGTTTTGGCAATAAATGTTTTAAGAAAATAGAACAACTTTAAATTAGTTCTATGCAGAGAAGAGAATCAACTACAGATGGGTAAATGGTCAGTGTGCTGCTTAGCTGGCTCTGATGGACATGAGGCGTGAAATACAGCAGAGCCCGTGGCATGCAATAAACATAATAAAATAGTGTATGGAAAAATGGATAGTCTCCAAAATTTAATAAATATAATTAATAATCAGAAATAATTTGAATCAGTTTATTCTTTACTAAATGGAATTTACAAAGAAAACCTTCTAATTATTTTTAATTATTAATCATTAAAGAAATAATTACCTTATAAAATCTCCTTAGTATGACAAGTATTAGAATTTTCCTCTCTTATTATTTTCTTCTTATGCTTTCTGGTTATTTTATTATTTTTCTCTCATTTTTTGTCTTAAAAAAATTGAACGCATTTATATTGTGTAACATTTTATAGATTGTGCTGAAGATGTTTGAGTAATAATAAGAATTTATTTTGGAATATAATTTATTTAAATTTCAATTTCTTATATTTTATTATGTTTTATTTTAGAATACTTAGAATAGTTTAACCTTTATCACTGACATATCCTAATGGATATTGAGTGGAAAGAGTGAGCTTTCCAGTACCAACTTTCATTTGCTTTGCTTACTATCTGCTTATCTTTTTTTAATCTCACTTTTTAAAGTTAAAGTATACCTTTCATTTCTTTCCTGAGTTTCATTTATATTCTTGTTTCTGCCACGCTTGCAGTCATTTTCTTACTCTACCTCGCTCCAGATACAGTCAGACCACTGAACGGCATCACAGGGATGGCAGGTATATTTTTCTTACAATTGAGTCTGTTCATAGAATTGCATGTGCCTGTCTATTGATATGATATAATTCAATTTTATCTCTGTTTTTTATATATACATATGGTTATAATTTATATATACAGTATCCTTAGAAAATAAAGCATATATGAACTCTTTAATTATATACAGTAGGATGTCAAGAATACAGCTTCCTTTTAATGAGTTAGGATCATATCTTTGATGATTCTCAAAATTTAGTTTTCCAGGAATTATAATTAACTCTTGATTACCTACAAGAATAGAATACAGTTTAATTACATTTGACTGCCTTCCTTCCTCAGTAGAGTTCATAATTAGGTATGTAGACTGTACTGGTTGATTTGTACATATCTTAACAACCTGCTTCCTTCCCTCCCTCCACAGTCAGGGAGTTGGTCCTTGAAGTGCTGAGGTTGAGGTTGAACTGATTGGTTTATGGTTTACCTTGTCAAAGGTGGCTATGATCTACTCCTTCATCATCTTTGTAGATGATGATTTTAGATACATGGAGAATACTGAGCCTGTGGGGAAATCTTTGTTCTTTTCTCATCTACCACCATTCTCCTTATATTGAAGGGAAATATCAATGACATGGCCTTTAACAGAAGGGAGGATTAACTAGAAAAAGAAGGGAGAGAAGGTCTTTATGTAGCTTTAGGGATTTGAGCTAGTTCAGTGACAACATTTTGAGGTCCTATAGGCAGAGAAGAGAATGGGAGTGATAATATGGTAGGTTCAGCTAGTGTAGCTAAAGAATTAGATACTGCACTCACTCTGTCATTTCAAAGTGATTTGAGTTATGTATGACCACTTTTATCCTGTTAATTTAGTTAATTGAGAGTTAATAATATTTAGAGAAAAATAATTAAAAATAATGAATAAATTTCTAAGAATTGAAATGATGTAGATAAATGTAGAAGGAAACATGAGATAATATTGACAATATATTCCTAATAATTTAAATTTTGTGATGTCTTTCAGTAAATGTAATTGAAATATAATGCCTTTTAGTTTATTATATTATAGTGATTATTACTGTATTTAATTTTCTTTTGCATTTTCTTAGCCCCTTTTCCGTTACTTCAATACTAAATAATTCTTACTTTGTTGTTGTATTTTTTTATTTTTCCCATTGGTGTATATAACATTCAGACTCTTTTTTTGGTTGCAATGATTATATATTTATCTTAAATATATATGAAAAAGTAGTTATATAACTGCCTTATAATTACCTATGACCTTTCTTAATGTGGGTGCCATGAATGAGACTACTGATTACAGGCTTATTCTATTTAACTCTGGTATCTCTTCATTCCACTGTAAGTTAAAATCGTGCACCACATTTATATATTCTATATTTTCTTAATTTTAATTATCAATCAATAAATTGGTTTATATTCTTATCCTTTCAATAAATCAGCATGTCTAGAATTAGTTTTTAATCAGCTCTAGGTTGGTTATTAATTTCATAATACTTACCAAATTCTCATCCTAGCTGGCCTGTTTTGAAGGAAACATTTCTGAATTGTTTTTGTTTGCCATGATTTGATTTGTGATCAGGAAACACAATATTGTTACTATTTGCATTAAAGTAAAACACAGATAGGAAAATCAGCTTTAAAAAACAAGTTTTCAAATGTCTTACTATAACATTTGCTATCATTTAAATGATTCAAATTTGTGAGTCTATGCATAGACAAATTGGGTTGATTTTGTAAGAATGAAGTTCTTTAGTTGCTTTTTTTTTTTGGTACGTGCCCCTAGCGGGAACCAAACTCTGGACTCTCTGGTCCGCAGGCCAACGCTCCAACTGCTAAGCCAAACCGGCCAGGGCTTTAGTTGCTTTTTAAAGTATTACCTTTTATCATTATCTGTTTGATATATAGAATAGAATGTATGTACGTTTTCAAAGCATAATGATAAAATGAACAACCAGGAATCTACTACCCAAACCAAGAATCAGAATATATGGTTACACCCCTTGCATTTACCTGTAGGCTACTTGCCTATTGCATTTGTGTACCTCCTGCAGAGAAGTAATAAACACTATACTGAATTTCATTTTATATGTCCTTACTTTTCTTTTTCTTTTTTAAAATTTATTTATTTTTTATTAATTAATTTTTGTTACAGATGTTTCTCCTTTTCCCCCCACTGATTACTTTTCTTTTTTTAAAAAGTGACTTGGATCATTTGTTCTCACTCTGCTAACACTCTGAGTTACTCAGTTCCTCTGACCCCATCTCAGTTCTGTGAGATTCTGGGATTACTGAAAATATGAAAGTTTATCTAGTCATCTCCCCATTTTCCTATTTATTACCACAGTGTTCTATGCTTCTTATTTTAACTTTAGTTATGTAATGCAACTGAGCACATCCGCCCATTACCCTTCCATGTTGGTATTTTCTGTTGACCTCTTGGTAAAGCTATTTTAATTACTGAAGATTTTAGCACCTGGCTTTAGTCTTCCTCATCAGCTTGATGTTAGAATTCACTTGAATGATCTATTCAGCACCTACTTACTCTTTGTTTCAAATTGGTTATAGTGAGCTTTACCTTCAATTCTGCTTTAGTCAGGCACTTCTGTGACCATACTCTGATTCTTATCATCACTTGAAACCGCTCCACCTTTGAAATATAAATCCAATTACTCCACTCTTGGACCAGAACTAAACATGGTTCTTTTTTTTTTTTCTTTTGTTGAGTTCAACCTCACCAGTTTCTTCATGTTAATAGAGGAACTACTCTCTCTTGACCCTTTAGCTTTCCCTATTAGTCTCCACTTTCTTTATTTGCTTACATATCCAGAGATTGAACCTATTCACAGAAATACCCTCAATTTGCATGGCTGGTATGGCTTAGTGGATTGGGCGTAGCCCTGTGGACTGAAAGGTTCTGGTTTGATTCCTGGTCAGGGCACATGCCCAAGTTGAGGGCTCGATCCCCAGTAGGGAGCATGCAGGAGGCAGCCACTCGATGTTTCTCACATCGATGTTTCTGTCTCTCTCCCTTTTATTCTCTAAAAAAATCAATAAAAACATGTTTTTATTTTTTTTATCCTCCCCCGAGGACTTTTTTGCATTTATCTTCAGATAGAGTGGGAGGGAGAAAGGGAGGAAGAGAGAGACAGAAACATTGATGTGAGAGAGACACACCGAGTGATTGCCACTCCACGACCCCAACGAGGGCCGGGGACAAACTGTAACCAAGGTACGTGCCCTTAAGCGGGAACCGAACCTGCATCTCTTCGGTCTGTGGGCCGACACTCTAACTGCTGAGCTAAACCGGCAGGGCTCAATAAAAACATATTTTTAAAGAATAGATATCCTCAGTTCCCTGGCTACATTGTTCTTCTTTTACCTCTTTGGCAAAGTTCTTTTCTCTTGCAGAATAGTTTTTAAGCTTAATTTTCCAAGTTCTCCCTAACTCACCTACTTGAGTGAAAATAAGTGAACACTCAAAAAAAAAAAAAAAAGAAACGTCTTAATTGAGGGGTATGGAAAAAGAATGAATGTTACATCAGTTCTCTAGGTGTCTAGTTTCCCAGCCTAGATTTCAAGGTGGCATTTACTCCCATGGTCTGAAAATTCTTCTTGGGGGAATAAATATGTAATAATAGCTCCAAGTGGATCATAGTATGACTACATGAAATCTGGAATTTTCTGAATGGAAAGAATGTAGTAAAGTCAGCCATGGCACCCCTAGTCTGTGAAAAATTAGAATCACTGTTCTCTGTACCCCAAGATTGTAAAATGAAAAGTTAGGAGTGCTTTCTCTTTGGAACAGATAGAGGTTTAAATAATGTTTGCTATAAACTTCTTTTATATTACTTTAGGAGATATATAGTAACTAATATGAGAAATCGAAACTTTTTTTTCTCTGTCATGGTTATACTGGCCACTACAAAATGATCTTCAATTTATTGTGTATTATAAATCACAGTCAACATTTAAACACAAATATTTGGAATGGATGTGATGTTACCTTTTATTAATCTCCCTTTATTTAGTTATATCCTTTATTTTAATAAATATTCTTTTTATATTTTAATATTTACCCTAATACCTACTTTTCCCCCTAGTACTTATCTCCACCTAAAGCTATAAACAGTGTATTAAGGGATCACTGACATTGATGGTGGACAAGGTGATTGTGGACTTTATGTAAAGATGTCATGGAGGAGACAACAATGAGGCTATATCTTAAAGGAGGAATTGGAATTATTCACATTTATATATAATTAACTAAGATAGGATGTCAGTGGAATTTTAAAGTGTATAAACAAAGCTGCTAAAGTAATAAGCACTGTGTTTCAGTACTGTTGAAACATTATCCACAAGGCAAGGAATAACAAAAAAATGGATCTGGAATGATAGAGATGATCCCAATTACGAATAACCTTGTATTAAAGTTGTTATGTTAAAAACTTAGATCTAAGACTGTAAGTGACAGAGGAACTTTGAAGAGTTTTAATTAGGGGATGACTATAATATACTCACTGTAGAATAATTATTTTAGAGATTCTGTGTATGATTAATTTGAAAGAAAAGGTTATGGAAAAGAAAAGTATGTATTGAAGTATTTCATGATCTAGGACAACAAAAACTCTTTGAGGTTCTGAACAAGGCAAGGTGGTAGATGGAGAGATAGAGAGATGAGAGATCTAATCAATTAAAATCAATAATAGTTGGTAAATAATGGTATTTTGATGTGGGGGAGCAAAGAGTCAAGAATCACTCCCATCTCATAGCTTGGGTAACTGAGTGCATGTGGTATCTTAACAAAGGTAGAGGTTGGAGGTATTAGAAGAGGAATCAGTTAAGTGAGGGACAAGTTCAGTTTTGGAATTATAGAGAGGGCTATGGAAAACCTCTAGCAAGAGTGAAATAAATAATAGAGCTTAAAGAAATTTAGGCTGCATAGAGCAATTTGGAAATAAATTCACTAGTAATGGGAAGTAGCCACACACACACACACACACAC